ATTCGTGTACAACAAATTCTGCAATACACTCAATTATTTTGATTGACTACTAAGTATGAATTATAATTAATCTTCGGTTAAATTTTCAAACATTTTTTTATTACCGAACAAAAATTATGTGAAAAGTTAGCGAAATTAAAATGGCTAAAATGTTTTGAAAATTTCCACCACGTCTAAAAAAGACAAATATGTATTATCTGTCAAAATATCAAGTCTTTACGAACATTTTCAACTGAATGGCAATAAAAAACAAAATCGAAAATGATACATTTCGTATATTTTCCCGTTTTTCCTATGTTGTTTTCGTCGATACGTACCTTTCTCCGCTCAGAAACTAAAAGGTGTTTTGTGCTCAATTGTGTCATAACCGAAAAAATGTCGGTGGCTATGCACACGTAACATTATTATTATATAACTACGTGTCTTGCGTCATTTATCTATTAATCCCGGAGTACCTTTACGGCCGCCGCCGGAAGTTGCGTCAAAACCGTTGTGACGTGCGACGTTTATTACGTTTATTCGACGGTTATTTTGACGCACGCATTTATAGAACTGCACCGCGAGGGGGTCATTTTAAAATAATATGTTCTTTTAGATTCTGAACGAAACGAGGAATGTATCGGTTTCACAATGATAAACATAATACGGCTAAACATATAAAGTCGTGTTAGGTACGTGTCAATCGATCAGAAATATTGTACAGGAACAGAGGAACTTGCAAGCAGATTGGTTAGATGGCTTAAACGTTACAACCGAAAATTTCCAAAGTACTTTTAAGGTCGATTTTTTGTATTCGATGAAAATATCGTAAAATATCTGCTGCTGCGGCGATGACGTAAAATATAATTGTCCCCCGATCCGCCGCTTATCAATCCTGCTAACCTCGTTGCTACGGCAACGACGACATACGAGTGGCAACGCTGGACCCTCCGTTATTAGATTTATATTTAACGACCAGTTTTGAATTCGAAATTCATCTTCAGGTTTGACAAAGTCAAATAACATCGTTACTTTTTTTTTTTTTGTAAAAATACCTGATATCATACCAAAAACATTTCGTTAAAACTCCGTGGTCAAAAAGCTAAGCTAAAACAAATTAGATTAAATCTTTAAAATACGTGATACAATATGGAAACTGAGTAATATGCCATTTTATAATATTACAAATACCTATAACAACAAACAAGACCGATTGTAATGTTAAATATTTAGTTAACATATTGTTTAACTACTTAGCAGGACGTGTATGTATACTTAAATAAATACAAAAAAGTAACTATACTAAAGTAAATTTCGTAAATAAATTAATAATTTATAAACAATATGTTGACTAAGTATTTAACTTTACAATTGATCTTATTTGTCGTCATAGGTATACGTAATATTATAAAATAGCAATATGCTTAGTTTCCATATATTTAAAGATTTAATCGTTACTAAATTTAATTTTTTTTAACTAAACTTTTTTGTACACTGAGTTATAACGAAATGTTTTTGGTGTGATATATTTTACAAATTGACTACATTGAACATTTTAAAAAGCGAAAGAATAAAAAGTTACTTTGTTTTCTCAGTTAGTAAGGTTTGAAAAACGAAATTTAATTTTTCTCTACATTTACGCGTCCCTGACAAAACTCGATAGAGAAAAAAAAGAGTTGGTTCTGGGGGTGGGAATGGCTACTGTTGTAGGTGAGAAGTTGGGAAGGTAGGGTACATAAGGTTATTTCATTTATATCTGGAAGCAACGATAAATCGTTGATTGACGAAAGACGATTCCGAGCGCAGTTCGGTAATACATAATTTGAAGTGCTGTAATTTTTTTTGCGATTTTTGTTTAAATTTGATTTCAAAACGCTTATCAAAAAAAAAATTAGTCCGATCGTTTTAGAAATGTTACCGCGTCTAGGTAAGTCCAAATATAAGTATTATTACCACGTTTCAAGTCTTTACGCGTATTTATAACCGAATTACAGCAAAAAAAAAAACCCAAAAATTAAAATTCCTTAAAAGCTCTAAAGATTTGGTGACGGTACCGTAAGAAAGTAAATCAAAAAGGCAGCAAAAAAGGTGTCTTGTGATTTTTAGATTCAATCATTTTTTCTAATGGAAAACGTCATCCGCGTTTCTATAAAATAATGAAATCGTGAAAATTGTACGTTTTCCTACGTTTTTTTCCACTTAAATGTTTTTATTTAAAAAACGGTGTCGGAAATCAAAAAAAAATATGACCTCTCTAAAGCACCGTCTAGACAACTTGAGCTTTCAGAAAAGTTGTTACACGTAAAAATTGGAGCAAGTTCACTAAGAAAACACCGTGGCCACAGACTAGAAGGACAAAAAGGAAGAAAAAAAATAATAATCATCTTAGTAAAACGGTACGCTAGGAATTTAAAATAAACGTATATTGACCGAGATATTAGCACTACAGGACTCCCTGCAGTATACCGCGGCGTTTTCGTCGATATCGATTTCGTTTTCGTCAGTCGTAATTAACAATATAATAATATTATTGGCTGTACCTATCGGCGGGAACCCGAGCGTTTTTACCGAACGCTAATGATTAGGGGAACCGATTGGTGATGTGCACTTAAAATGCACACTTTTACAAGCGTTTAAAAAGATATTAAAAAAAAAAAGGCAATATCAGTAGAGGGATTTTTTAAAAGTCATCCCGCCTTTCAACGATTATAATTTATAAATTATAATTACCCGACACTGTAAAAACGGGATGAAACACAAAGTGATTTTTGTTCTTTGAAATACGTACGTATAATAAAAAAAAAATTACTCGTTTTAAAATTTTCTGTAGCGTTATAAAATTGTATTTAATATCTTTAGAAGGGGCGGGTGACTTTTAAAACCCCTCTATAATGTTTTTTCGGGTATTTCTCAATCACTTTTTTCGTGAATTTCGAGTGCATTTAGAAATTCGTTCCCTATACTCTCCTGATTACGTTTCTATATAGATAATAAACGAAATAAATCCGTCGTATTTTCAAAAAAAAAAAAAAAAAAAATCATATTGTTCGGTTAGGTTATGTTATTCCCCTTATTCCTTACCGCCTTGTCGTTGTTGTCGTCCGCTATCGGTGTGATTGAGGTGAGCCGGTGGAGCAGCGGAAATTTACCCGACGGTTGACGCTAGCGGGGTATATGGAGAAAGGCGACGTCGACCGCAAGTATACGGGACGGGTTTGTGCGGGACAGCCACGGTGGGACGGCGGCGGTGAGTATACACTACGCCGAAAATCCCGTACACATTTTTACACACGCGCACGCGCGCGCGTGCACACGCACACACACACACACACACTAGACACACTACACTCCCGCACGTCTATACACGCACACACTGTACACCAGCTCGTTTACACACACACACACACGCGCGCGCGCGCGTGTTGTACGCACCGACGGCGCGAAGCGAGCTACGCGCCCGCCCATATTCGCGCGCACAAACGCGAGCGCGCGCCGCGCGGTTAGCTATAACCAATAACTCCGACGGTGGGTGCCGTGTGCGCCGGCGTCCCCCGTCCGAACGATTTGCGTCCGTGTCGACGGCGGCGGCGGCGGCGACCCGTATCCCGTATCGCGGACGGTGGCGGTGACGTCGACGGTAACGGCGGCGGTGAAGTCGGCGGCGGTGAAGTCGGCGGAGGGATCGTCGGGGTGCTGTCGTTTCCCTCCCCTCCCCCCCACAAAAGCACGCGCGAGTTACTCGGACGCGCGGTAGGCGCATAGCAGTACAACAGTCGCTCGACGAAACTCCGCTGGAACGTTCGTCTCTGCGCCGCTTGCCCAACGGTCGTCCGCGGATCACGCACCGGTACGTATTATTATACCCGTCTATACATTATCGGCCGTAACGTTATAAATATTTATTACGCTCGGTGGCGAAACGATCGGTCCCAATGTTTTTGTGAAATTCAGCGGGTACACGAAATATTAACGGTTATTCACAATTTAGGCACTGATTTAACGTGCTCGAAGAACGTATTGGGAAATATTGGTGGCCGGGCCAGATCACGGGTCGTTTCGCCACTGAATACACTCATTACAGGATTATTTATATTTATGTATTATTATTATTAGTGTTTTATTGTACGAGTATTGATACTATGATTATCAGCGTGTATAATTTAGTGACGGGCACATTCGGATTTGAAATCCAGATAAGAACTCGATTAAGATCCGGACTTGGATATCCGGATATTCGGATTTCATGCCCGTCCCTAATGTGTATACACGCATGTCTATATGTATTATAATTCGACGGCTCTCAGAACTGACGTGAGCGACAATTTTTTTTTTTTTTAAAAGCTATTTTTTTATATTGCGCTGTAAACGCCAGAACTGAACATAGATCGCACCGACGACCGTATTGATATCTTTACCGCACGACATTTTATCGAACGAATCCGATTAAATGGCGTAAACGATATTAATTAATAGTGAACCGTTTTTTTTTTTTTTTAATTTAGACGAGAGCGTTTTGGTGCTTAATTAATCACCAAAAACTAGCGTAAGCGCCCTGATTTATTTATTTGTTTTTTTTTTTTTTCAAAAGTTCTAACGTTTACGTCGTAATTAAATTTGAGATTTTCTTTTCTTTTCTTTTTTTTGTCACACTTTCACTTACGTTACAGTTTGAAAAACAAAAGTGGCATAAACAAAAGTGTAAATGCCGTTTAATTAACTTTTTATTCGTAAACTATATACATATTTATAGCGCTCGAGTCTGTAAATTCGATAATTCGTTAAAAATAATCTTACGAGAAGATGTGCCGATTTTATTGGAATTATTTTACTCGGAACAGACATTTACCGAATTAAATAAACACGCAATAGGTATTTTTCGATATCTAAATATCTGGAACAATATTATTTTTGCGGAATCGTATTTAACGGAACAAACAATTGTTGAAATTTCTATACACTGAACAAATATTTATACTGGATTTCTTTTCTTTCGGAATTTCAATACTTTGAACAGACGTGTATTAATATTTTAATACTTCGAACAGAAGTATCTTTCTTAGAAGTGATTCCTTAGAATTATCATGTTTTTCGGGGTACAGACATTTATTCTCTCTTTCATCCCTTGGGTTACTCGTCGCCTTGCTACTTTTTCTGCCCGGTTCACTTCTGAGTTTAAGAATCTCATTTTTGCCAAAACCATTTTTATTCCTTAATTCAAATCCACCGGCTCTTAATTTGATTATCGCATTTTTTTTTCCTTTCTCGCGTTCAATGTAAATCTCTGTCATGGAAGTGCCTCCGAGATTTCTACTCACATACTGAATTTCACGCGAAATTCTCGTTATTTTTAATCCTTCATATGGAAACACCGTTCGTCACCATCAATACCCTCACAAGCCATTTACAACGGAGTATCTATAATACCGACCCTATTGACGCGGCCAAACTTTTCTCTCCGCATTTCTCCTCCGTTTATTCACCCCTGTTTTCTTCCCTTTTCTTTTGCCCCCCCCCCCACTGTCAGTCATTACGTTTTTTTTCCTACTCGCGGGTCCTGATATCCATTTACAAGGTCTCTCCAAGTCTTTAGCTTCTTTCCGTATCCTGAGGTCCGTCACGCCTGATGGTATTCAAAGCAACTACCTTTACACTCTCACAGATGTTCTTGCCTCTCTCGCTCGTGTTTAATAAATCCCTCCAAGTCGGTGTTTTTCAAACTGTCTTTAAAACTGGTTCTGTTTTTTTCTATTCTTAAATCGGGTAATCCAATTAATGTTCTTAACTATCAGCCATTACTATTCTTCCACACCTTTCTAAAATTATATGATACCATCGTCTTTACTTATATTCGTCCATTTCTTAGCAATATTTTTATTGACGAACAGTATGGTTTGTGGTCTGGCCGCTCAGCGACCAAGTCACAATTTGATCTTTATTAGTTACGTATAAGTGATTCTTTCCGCTGGCTTAGTTAAGTAAATGGAATCTGCACTAATTTTTCCAAATCGTTCGAAAAGGTTAATTACTCAATACTGATCTATTTGCTCCACCTCGTAGGGACAGTCAATCCGTTGCTTTCTTGGATGCGTTCCCACCTCACTGACCGTATACTAATTGTCTTTTTTTGAGTTCCTCTTCTAATGTATATTCTTTTTCTTCTGTCATCCCCAAAAAACTGTCCTTTCGCCCCTTATCTTTGCTCATTTTGTTAATTCTACTTCCTCTGACCTTCATAATGCTAAACTACTCATCTTTTCTGACGAAATGAAACTATTCCTTCGTATCAACTCCCGCTTCAACTACTTTTTATTACAGGCCGATCTTAACCGTTTAGTCGTTTGATAAGTAATTCTTAACATTCCGAAATTTTCAGCGTTGACTTTTTGCCGCTTCAAATCATTCGTATTTTTTCTTTATAAAGACATAATAGAAATATTAGACTATACTTTTTTAATGATGTTGAGGGTTTCACTTTCACCAAAACCTCTATCCTTTGCTTAACATAGAAGCTGCTTACTTTTAATGCCTTTAACTCCTCGACTTCATAAACCACATCTCCTACAATTTCTGTCTAATCACTTCCCACAAATTATTATAGTGCTCATTATTTCATCTCACCCTGGAGTACAGTTCTGTCCTGGTAGACCCTCATTTCTCTGTCACCAGTGATATGATCAAGAGGGTTCAGAGGAAGTTTCTCCGAATGAGAGATTACAGGTTTAATATTCATTACTTTTTACACAACTATTTGGCTGTCCGCTCGGCCTCTATACCTTTTCAGATACAAAGCATCTAGCGAATATTGAATTCTTCTTTAAATTTCTATCCAACCAAACTGATTCCCCTATCTTACTTGTTGATTAATTAATTTCCATGTGCCTCCATGTTACACTTATTCGTCTGTTCCCTTTTATATCCACAATACATCTTTTAATTTTAATCTAAATCGGGGGGAGGGGCCTATGATCTGCTAACAGGTGCGTCTTCGGGTCAATTACAGAGGGAGGGGAGTGGACAATTTTTACTCTTGAATACCACCGCTTTGGTCAAAAAAAGCTTAAAACCTTTATGTCTGATATTTCAACTGATATTAGCTTAGAAAACTCCAGATATATTGTAAAAATGCAGTAAAACAGTATAATTTAAAAGTTAAATTAAATTTTTCACATTAAATAAATAATAATCAACAATATTTTCAACATTAATGTTTTCATTTCGATGAATTCAGCAGAAATTTTTTTTTCACCACAGAATACGACTTTTAATGAACCTCATGTTAAATTCTCAAGCATTTTTGTTTGGTATAATAAATTTATTCACAGAGTACCTAAAAATAACGTATAAAACACACAAAATTAAAAAAAAACTATAAATAGCTTAAAAGTTTGTCAAGAAAAGGAAAGTATAAGTTTTCTGTCCAAATTTCAAGTCTCTAAGAATATTTTTAACAGAATTACAACTAAAAACAAAATTGAAAATTATAAAAGCAATATTTTCTTAAATTTTCCCATTTTTCTTACGTTTTATCTTGGCTTTTCTTGATATTATGAAAACTCCTTGGAAAATCTAAAACTGATTTTCCTAAAGTACCATTTAGTTCAATATGACAATATTTTCTTTAAAAAAAAAAGTGCTACTTGATGCATATTGAAGCAAGATTTCTGGTAGAAATTTTCATTACAGTATATGTATATAAAAAAACTATCATTGTAAATCCAATAGGTATATTCTTCACTACACTCAGAATCTATGATTTCAATTAGATCAATCATTTTCAATTTTGATTCTAAAAATATAATATTTTATTACATTTTTGCAAATTTATTGCTCTCATTTAGTATTCCATAATTCTATCTCACCCTGGAGAGAATATTTATTGAAATGTTTAAATGAGAAGTGTTTCATTCTTGTTTCAATCAAAGTATTTCCACGATTCGAAATCATCATTACTATATTTGGAACCAGTTGCAATTGTACTTATTTTTATTTAAGAATTATGGATATTTTATATAACAAAAAAGAACATCACATGGCTTATTGGGAGGGGGGGCGATCGCCCACTCGGCCCTCCCCCTCAGGGACGTGTCTGTCTACTAATAACGAACCCGCTATTTCATTGTTATCCTAAATACCTGTAAAATTATTTAATAACCTACTAGCTTACTAAAATAGCTTACTATACTTTTTAATTGAACTTATGCGTTTGTAATAATAAATAAATAAATATATTTACTGGAATTAAAATATTAAAAACAGACGTGTATTGAGATTGCATTACTTTGAACAAGCATTTATTGGAATTCAAAAATTGCGTAAAATGTCGGTTTTGAGCTATGTTTGTTCCGAACTGTGTAATACTATTCGTTCTATGTTCAAAACACTGGTGTATGTTTTGAAAATATATATGTTTTCCATAGATTCTCATCTTGTAAAATTTATGTTCCAACTAAAATAATTCCAACAAAATAAAGTCGTCCAATGTAAGAACACGAAACTAAAAATTAAGATAATAAAAATTCATTTTTTTTTTTTTTTTGTAAACAATTTGTTTTCATTCCCTCGGACAATTTTATTTTTGGCGCTTACGCTTTTTTGCTTAGAGCCGTCGAACTGTACCTATCTATCTGTTAAATCATTTTGAAATAAAATTACCGTTATTATAGGTATTCTCTGCTTTAGAAAGTACAATAACATACATATTCACATTGACTTTCAATCGTTGAACAGTATCACCGCGAAAAAGCTCCGAGCGTATAAAATACTCGCTGGCAAAATGGCGAGCGAGTCGGCAAACGATGATGTCGTTGCCGCAGCCGCCACTAGCAAACAGCACGACGACAGCCTTGATGAAAACAGCCGCGATTCGACTTCAATGTTCAGCGTGATCTTCAGTGAGGCTTTTGGCGGCCTCGGTGATGATGACGATGGCGGAAAACGTAAGAGCCGATCGCAACTTTCAGCATTTGACCCCTTGTCTGTTCGAGTAGACGGCGATGGCAATCGTGATGTTGAAAAGCGCAACAGTCAATCGCGGTTTTCGGCTTTTGGATCTTTGTCTCCGGTTCGAGTAGCCGGCGACGGTAATCGCGATGGTGATAAGGGCAACAGTAAACCGCAGTTTGCGGCTATTGAACCCATGTCTTTGGCTCGACTAGACTACAGTGGCGATCGTGATGGTGAAAAGCGAAACAGTCAACCGCGGTTTTCGGCGTTTGAACCGTTGTCGGTTCGGGTAGACGGCGATGGCCATCGCGATGTTGAAAAGCGCAAAAGTCAACTGCGGCTTTCGGCTTTTGGACCTATGTCTCCAGTTCGAGTAAAAAATGGCGGCAATCGTGATGGTGAAAAGCGCAACAGTCAACCGCGGTTTTCGGCTTTTGAACATTTGCCGGTTCGAGTAGACGGCGATGGCGAGTGCGTTGGTGAAAAGCGCAACACTCAACCGCGGTATTCGGCTTTTGAACCCTTGTCCATGGTTCGAACAAACAAAAATGACAAGAAACATAACATTCCATCAAGGTTTCCTGATTTTGACCCCTTGTCTTTGGCTCGATCAGCAGACGGCAGCGATCGTGATGGTAAGAAGCGAAACAGTCAACCGAGGTTTTCTACTTTCGACCCCTTGTCTTTGGTTCGAGCAGACGACGACGACAGTGATGACGACGGGATAAAGCGCAAGAATCAATCACGGTTTTCAGATTATGATTCCTTGTTTACGCCTCGAGTAACCGACGACAGCGATTATGATGGTAAGAAGCGTAACAGTCAATCACGGTATGCGGATTATGAATCCTTGTTTACGCCTCGAGAAACCGACGACGGCGATCGTGATGGTAAGAAGCGCTACAGTCAATCGCGGTACGCAGATTTTGAACCCTTGTCTGTGGCTCGAGTAACCGATAACGGCGGTCGTGATAACAAAAAGCACAGCAGTAAATTTCGGTTTGGGGATTTCGACACATTGTCTTCGGTTCGGAAATCCGACGACGCTGAGAAGCGTAAAAGTCTGCCGCGGATTCCGGATTATGATCCGTTTTCTTTGGCTCGAATCGCCACCGAAAGCTATCGCGATGGCGAGAAGCGTAACAGTCAACCGTGGTTCGCGGATTACGAACCTGCGTCTTTGGCCCGATTGCCCGACAGCGGCGCTACTAGCAAGAAGCGCAACAGTAGTAAAAATCGGTTTTTGAAATTGGACCGGTTGGCTTTGTCTCGAGTGTCTGACGATGATGACTACGACGACGGGAAGTACAGCACTCAGCCACGGTTCGAGGATTTCATACCCGGGTCTTTGGTGCGAGTGCCCGACGGCAGCGGCAACAGGAAGTACAATGGCAATAAACATCGGTACGCGATTCACGACTTCAAGGTTCGGCAAGCCAATGAAGGCCGCGGCGAAAACGCGAAGTACAATACTCCGCAGCGCTTTATAACGAACGCCTCGGCGCAAGGCACGGCGCGGACCGACGACGACGGTTTTGACTATCAAGCGCGGTTTAAAGCGTTGCGTCCGCTCAAGAAGGACGCCGGTGAACGCGACGTTGCCCGTCACGGAAACGGACCGCTACAGGACGTTGCGGCCAGTTGAGATTACGACTCCGTTCGGGCCAGCCGCGGTAAGAGTAGCGACGGCCCGGACGAGTACGGTCTTTGGAAACTAGCAGGCCAGTACTACGACGACGACGACGACGAGGACGACGACGACGACGAAGCGCATTTGCTGGATTGCGCCGCGGCAATAGTGACGACTAAGTATGAGAACATGTCGCTCTCGCACTCGCCGCCGATCAACAAGCGTAAAAACCTGCCGCCTTACAGCGATCTTGCGTGTATGTAAGTATCCGTTTTTTTTGTATACCGACGTTACCCGACACACGGCATCTGTTTTACGTGTGCCGTGTGCTGTACACTCTGATTACCGATTACGGTTTTAAAAAGTTGTCGAAACGACGACGTTTTACCGCGGGGTAACGTGCGTGCGCATTTCGGCGTTATCGAAAACAATACGAGTCGCGCGTTTTCCCCATCTCTCGTACAATAACGGACAAATTTGTCCCCCTCCCCTCCGTCTCGCCCCCTATCCGATCGTTATACTATACACTCGCGCCGGTATTATTCGAATGAACGATGGGTATTCACGTTGAAATATTTGGAAAAAATAAATATAAAAACAACGAAAGTATCTCGTTTTTAACGCATCCGAACAGTACCGCTTAACAGCCGCGTAAAATCGACGAATTCCGTCCAGTTGTCATGGGGTTCCGTCGAGCGGTTGTTTCGACATACAAGAGGGTGAGTATCCAAACATACCGGACGTAGGGCGTACATACTTCAGGGGCGTTATCAGGGGGAGGGAGGTTTGGCTGGGGCATTCGTTCTACCTTAGATTTTAACACTTCGGCGCGACCCTATGAAGGCGATAAAGTCTTAAAAATCGGTCTACAGAAATCTATTGACATTATTATATCATTATTACCTAATATATTGTTTAATTATCTTCATCAAAATCGTTTTGTTTCGTATCTTACAGTCTTTTTAAAACTAATTCGTCTTGTTTTACATGTTGCGAGCGTAGCGAACGATTTTATGTTTGTTATTTAAACCTTTCGGAACATTGGGCTGATAAATGTTTTGCCTCGTCCCAAGAAAAACTAAAACGTCGTCCCTGACGCGCTCACGGTAATAAATTCTGTATAATAAACAGGCCCAACGTGATTGGGGGGGGGGGTATTTTATCGGATTTTTGCGTTGACGTGAAAAATATTCGTAGTTTAATTTCGTAATATTTTACTTTAAAAAAAATCAATAGCTAATATTAGTAATTTAGTAACTATGTAATATAGTTACTATTTGTACCATGATACGCGCGTACGATTTTCGCTTTTGAAATATACCTTATACTTCAACCTTAAACCTTCTTTTCGCTATATACTGCGTTTCAAAGGACTACGCTGAGCGTCAGTGGCGAGTTTAACATTTGATGACATTCGGAGTGATTAGTTCGTCACCGGTGGGTGGGTGAGGGGCCTTCGCAGATTTCTTTCAGCGGCCCTGATAATAAAGATCTAAAACAATTCGACTGTGTACCCGCCCTTTTTTGGCATGCCATTCGCGCCGAGACACCCCCAACAGTCGCGACGACAAAGCTCGCGATCGTACGAGTACACTTTCGACTCGGCCCGGCTCAATCACGCGCTCGCGTACCGACCTAAGTGTAGTTCACGCCGAGTGCGTAACAGAGGCGACCACGTTGACACGTGATTGCCGTTATTCACATCCATATACAGAAAAAAAAAATAAAAAAAATTTGTTTAAAAATCGACCGAAGAATCTGAAAACGTACGGCCCGACGGTAAGAAGCGCCTCCCTTATCGCGAAACCCCCGTAAGATTGTTACGGTAGTTTTATTTTTCATTAGGTTGCGGCTATAGCCTTTTCGTTAGGTCCTTTAAAACGTCGGCTCTTTTCGGTCCGTTTACCGTGATGGTAAAATGTATATTACGCGGGTATTCTGGCAGCGTCATGGGTCACGAGTATTTACGATTAACTGCAATAATTACGAAATTTAGCGATATTCAACCATTTTAATATATTATTGTAATGATATTAAGAGTAGGACGGTTTTGAAAGACAATATTTTTTTGAACCTACTTAATATTCAGCTTTCGGTCGTATACATTGGGTATTTTGAGCAGGGATCACGGACACCATACAAGTTCGGATTATAATATTGTTTGATACAATGTTATTTTATTGCGTCTATCGCGTTTGATAATGTCAAAATCGTATTAACGAATCGGATTAATTACCATAGAAATAATGTCGGTTTAAATGAGTGACTGGCGATAATACACATTTATGTCACATTCGAACATTATTGCTGAGTATCATTTTGCAATAATATCCTCGGCTTATACATTTAAAGCGATTTCGTTTTTCATATCACTCCTATCGAAACGAAGATTTCGGGTAAATTCGATTTTGAAGTTTTCCGGACATTATATTATAGTGTATGCCTCTGTATATTCTTCTTCTCGCGGGTTTTTCGGCCTCTAAGACCAGTCAGTCATCCAAGCGAATTTGCCACCGCTTATATGCATATAGTCTATTCGATTTCAAAACTTTTACATCTACTCTTACCGGATTTTCCAAGCTTGGTTTAATTAACGGTATTTTACCCCGATCAGATTTTACTTAATATCCCTTTTAATTCGTGAGGTATTTTTTCTCCAAGTCTGATTTCTGTTATATGTGGTCGTTGAAAAAATTTCTCAGCTATTCATTGTGACGTTTTTTCGATTCAAAACATTCTTCTGGTAGTTTGTCTTGTTTCCAAATTCGTTCTATTATCTCGTGAATTATCAATATTGTTATTTCGTCTATCCTCTGTAGACATTTTACTTGAATACCATTTTCTCCGGGGGATTTATGTTTTTTCGGTATTTTTATCCGTCATACTACGTTTTCATTATACGGTGCAGACGCTTTCGTTTTAATAGTTTTTTTTTTTTTGGGTTGGGTTATCATAATGTACAAGTTTTTCAAAATACTCTGTACATTTTTCCACAGTCATTCCTTGTTCAATAACTAATTTTCTCTTAGAAATTGCTCTCGTTTCTTAAATACACACATACATCTAGTAATATTATTATCGATTCTGTTGTATATACTTCTTCTTCTTCATGTTAGTCTGCTCAAGCCATATGTATTTTTGAAGCCGGTAGTCAATCAGTTTGATAACTTCGCCATTTGGTTCCCCGAATAGGTGAAGAATAATATATTTAAAAGATAAATAATTTCAATTTTCAACCACATCGATGACGTCGACGCGCGCTATTTTAACTTAACACACGTATACCTATAATACGTGAAAAAATAAAAAACAAAAATATTATTATTGTCCGTGAAAAAGCTTTCAAAGTTGATTGAAAAATCCCAAGTTTTCGACGCGATAAATACGAACTCGTCCTTCAGCAATGTTTTTTCCCCGTGATAACATGTTTTTTTTCCGCCCATATAATCACTTATAGTAATGAATTTTTTGAACATTTGTGTTTGAGCTTTAACATAGTAAACTATTATAAACTCGTGTATTTTTTTTAAAATTATCATCAGTTCGTATACGACGGCATATAAAGTGGGACGCATAATCAAACGAACGCGCGGAAAATAATTTTACATACATTCAGATTTTTTTTGTTTTACAATTTTTCTGTTGACCAACTTATAATCGGTTTTTTTTTTTTTTTGTTGTTGTTTTTCTAAAAAAAACTTCAATTAAATTGCATTCGATATTATTGGGTCGGCAATAGTATAGCGCATATACCTACGTATCTGTATATGATCAGTATGCAAATAAAATACAATTTTTTCCTGCGATTTTCCGCAAACGAAACGTGCATAATATTATATTTTGAAAAAAACCAAATGTATATACGTCCGCGATTCCGGTGGGAATTCGTATCGAGAGTCCCCGGCGGTGAATATCGAACGTTCCGTTCGAAAATACAATAATCATTTTTGTCGGTCCGGGAGTCGTACGTAATAATATCGTAACAGTATTATTATTATTACTGTTAAAAAAACACGACGGAGCAAGTATGTACGCCTGCATAATATATGTATGCATATATACATATATATTTATTATTAAATCAATACCCACTTTAAATATGTATATATTGTACAGTATCGAAGTGTGTTCGTACCTATCCGGCGGCGTGTAATTGGGTCAACTTTACAACGGTTCGCATTCGAAATTCGGACGTATTTTTTTAAATTTCGCGTTTCGGAATGTTCGTTTGCGTATCCGCCGCGCGCGTCTCTATCTACACGCCAAGGCTGGGCGGCGAGTTAACGGGTTTGTTTCAACTCGGCTGAGCTGAGTTTAAATTCAAATAAAGTTAATTCAGAACAACCAATCGATTCGACTAAGTTACATGTTGAATTAACTTTTTAACTAGAGTTAAAAAAAAAAATTTTCATGTTATTACTTGTCTTTTATGCCGGCTATTATAATGGCCTAATAATGTACCTACAACCGCCAACCCGCGGCCACAGTAGAAAAATAACAGGCATTCATAACAATTCGTATTTTAACATGTTCATATTGTGTTGATAACAATAATATATTTCTGCGGTGCGAGAAAAGCCAATGACGCATATTGTGATTGTCGGGAAATGGGCTTTGGAAATTTTATTTCCCCATTAGGTTTTGTGTGTTTTATTTGATGCCAAACGACTGTGTAATTTTCGATTCTTTCAAAAACACTTTTCTCTTTTTCTCTTTTCTTTTTTTTGAAAATATTGACATTTGCCCTTCTAGAAAAAGTTAATAGTTCAAAAAAATCAATTTATCAAGTCGAAAGTTAAATCGACTTGAGATGTTAATTCCCAGCCTTGTCTATATGTACATACAATATCACCACATAATACAGTAGCACCCGTTTCAGACGCTCTCGCCGTAAGACGATTTTCCGCCTAAGCTCATTTTTACGAGTCCCTTGATTTTGACTACGTTCAAAATGCTGCGATTAACTCTAGATAATGCGTTCTATGTTCTATCTCATTAGTAACGACGATAACGAATAGTGTGTACGCGCACTTGTACTGGTTATCGGACGATAATAATATATTCACGATTAGATACGACACGCTATATACGCACGACTATTCACGGCATCGGATCATCGGATATGGTCCCCAGTCCACCACAGTTTGTGGCTGATTAAAGACAAATAAGTAAAGTGTAATTACGTGTAATTATTCTCTTTCGCTGCAGTGAATTTGTCCAGGTTAGTTTTTAACGTTGAATACCTACATGGAAAAAAAAAAAAAAAATGCGAAACAAACAAAAATCGATGATTTTTTTTAAAGTAGGTGATATAAAACAATATTATGTAATATTCCCGCGTAATACGATTTCCCGTCTAACACCCTATATTTTGTTAACTGGTCCCTAGGAGAGCGTCTTTAAACGGGTTCTACTGTAAATGTACACTAGAAGACACTACATAGATGGCTGTGTATGAGTTGATTCCAGGGTACCTGTTTACCGGCACCGATACCGATACTTTAATTGATTCCACGGCTATTACGGGTTATGTACGCGTTGATTGGGAACTACCCGTTTCCGTCAAAAACGCACCTTTCCCTTTTCTGCCAAATAAAAAAATTAAATTAAATATTTGAATATTAATGGACGATTGAATCAATAATTATTATTATTGTATTGTAAAACAAATATCAAAATGTTCACGAAAAATATTGAAAATTGTTGTACAGGGGTGAAATTAATTTAAAAATATAAATGCCATACTATTTATTCTTATTTACAATAATTGTAAGATATTTTTTTTTTTTTTTACGAAATCGCAACTGAAAATTCAAGAAAATAAATGTAAATACAAATATGTAAACAATCGTTTATTAATATTCAAATGTTAGACTAAATTTTTTCATTTGGCCGAAAAGAGAAAGGTGCGTTTTCGGCGGAAACCAGCCATGCCCCAGTTGATTCACTTATTGTTGTATGTCAGTAAGCTTACCCTTTTAAGCCCATCAGAAGTTATTGATTGCTTTGCAAATGGGTTGATGGAAGTTCGACCGACAGATGTCGAAAGAACTGTAGAGTTTACGGACTACGTATTTGATAATTATATTTCCCCAGAAGCGAGTTTTCCGCCAAGTATACGGGCTCAATTCCCCACTACTAAATAAACAGAACTACGAATAGTTGTGAGAGTTATCATTCGAAACTCATCAGTTGTTTTTACAGTGGGATCCCAAATAGTTTTCAATTTATACATAAGCTGCAGTTAGAAGTGCAGTCGGAAACGTATGCGTATTAAATGCGGGAGCAATGGGACTAGATAATCCAAGAAAAACCGAGAAAAATAAGTTTTTATGAAAGAAACGATGAAAAAGTACACCGGTAATCTCATTACCGGTTATCAGTTTTCAAAGTCTTTTGGGTAACGCTAATAGACTGAAGTATTCAATTCAACATTTTATCATATGCATTTGCCGTATTACTGATAAACAACAATGGGGGAATCAACTCGTACGTAAAACTCTCGATAACCCGGGAATCAAATAACACAAAGAGTAAGTCCCGGGAATCAACTCAACAACACCGATAAATAGATACACCGAAATACGGACACTTCATCTCGCTTTTCGTACGTGGATATTAAAATATATTGTCATTTCTTTTTTTTTTTTCTTTTTTTTTTTTTTTGTCGAGATTGTAATAGATGATATTTTGGCCGTTTTATTAGAGCGATCGCATTTTGACTTTTATTTTGTGTACTCGCCTGCTATAAAACACGGTTTTAACACAATTGATCATAAAAGAACGTATTAAAAATGTTATAACCAATTTATGGACGTTCTTTATATTGCGTGGAACCTACGTATATTATTATTTTGGTTTTTTTTTTTTTGCCCGTAAAAATTCTAAAGCGTATACTTAGGTACGTGTATTATACCTCAACTATAATAGGTACACCGCATTGGTGACATTATCGTCGTAGATCGATCAAAACGTAGCGATACATTATACTACATTATAAAATAACATTGTAAAATATAAAAATATAGCGAAAATGATTAATTTTTGAATTACCACGTAGACACGTAGATGCGTATTATTATTATTATTATTATTATTATTGTTGGTACATACGAAATCTCTTTCGCTCAATGTAAATCGAATATAAATACTGTACAGTAAAGTCGTTTTAGCAATAATATTGGTAAGTACGCCAGAATATTATAGTTTATTTATTTATTCTTCTTGAACCGTAGAGAGTAAATTAGTTTTTTTAATTTTTTTTCATTATTATTATTATTATTGCGTGTATCATTTCGTCGGCTTACACAAACAGTCGTGCGTATACATTAACGACTAAAAAGATAATACTACTACATATATATATACATATATTACACTGCGAAATAAAATACTCATAAATAACCAACCGAAATATTAAAGACTGCGATATGCGCAACAGGTATTATTTGGACGTCCGCGAAAATCAACCGAGATACCGCAATTTACTAAGTATATACGAACTCACAGCGTTAAGGGGCCCGCAGTTAAGCGTCTGCAGTTTTTAAAATTTTCTCCCATTTTGAAACATTTAAAAATTATTTTTAACATTTCAATCGTACCGTCTTAAAGATAAGATTTTCCGACCGACCTATTATTCGATATCAATTTAGGGGGAGGAGAGGAGAGGGGGGGAACAGTCGAAAGCGAAAACGAGACGACATGAGCGTAGCGCGCCGCTAGACCGCATTGTATTCGCACATTCATCCGTCGAGAATTTTTTTTTTTTTTTTTCAATGGACGATAATAATCACATATAGATTGATGTAAGGGAAAAGTGCAAGCGTGGACTTTTATTGTACCGCCTATATAGACGAGACTCCGGTACGAGACGACGAGGTTTCGGAGTTTTAAAAGTCGCATATAGGATCGATATTTTAAACACGACGGAACGGCAACGCTCGATTACGGCTCGAGAAATTCGAGTTGTGTCTCTCCCCGTCGCCTTTATCGAAAAACCTATTAGTATTATTATAGGGCGTATTCAACCGCAGAGAACAAATATTGAATATTTATTTATATTTTTTTTTTTTTTTATGCAGAAGTAACGGCTCCCCAGACACACTTGTAGAGACATTTCGCCGTCGCGCTGACTGCGGTACCTATCGAGAGCGTATAATAATACAATGTATACACACCTATAACCCCGCCATATCTGTATTACGGAGTATATTTCTCTTGATCGTTATATTGACATTTTACCAGTAACTGTTCGTAATACAAAGAGAGATTTTTTTTTTTATTATTTTCGTTTCACTTGCTTATCGACAGATGGCGTGCCACAGTCTGTAAGCAAACGAGAAATGAAATAACAATGGACCGTCTCGATTGACACTTGACATCGATTTACCCCATTTGCATTATAAATATACACACCAGTGCTTCCCAACGTGGTTGGTGCTGCCTCCTTGTTGGCTTTTTTTAATTTCGTAGGGGGCTTTTTACTTAAGGGGGCGTGAAGGGGAACGATTCTATTGTGATTTTAATTACTAAAACCAATTAAATTATATTATTATTAAAACAATATTAACAAATTCATAACTTATTGTAATGCAATGTATATCTGCGTACAATAGAAAATAATTAAATATTTCATACACACTACAATAACAACGAAATTCACTGAATAATTACAGCGAAAGGTCCCATTTCCATACGGATATTTCCGACAATATTGTATACTTGCATTTATTACATGAAGCTATATAATTTAGTGCGCATGTACGGTAGTTATACATAATTGTATTTATAATAAAATGCTGAGCTCGAAATGTGAAGAAAATATTTATTTTTCACTTTAATCAAATGGCTGATTATAAAAACATAATTGTAATTTTTTTTTTATTTTAATTTATCGGATATGGGGAGGTAAGAGTTTTTTTACAATCAAAAAGGGACGTTGAGTAAAAAAAGGTTGGGAAACACTGATAGACACAATATACGACAAAAATAGTCAACGTTCACCGCTCCGCGAATATTGAAACAAATTTTATTAATTTTATCCCGGCTGGTGTATGAGTTTATTTGTTTAGTCGCATAATAATTTTGACCGATGACGTGCATAACAATTACACGAAACCAGCGGATAAAATAACGAATCATATAGTACTTTAAAAATGTGAAAAAAAAAATTTTCAGGATATCAATGAAATATTTATTTAGTATTGATATAATGAAAGTGAACACGAAGAATACGCGAAAATAATTTTCAAAAAAAAAAATGAACAGGGAGTGGTTAATTCCAATTTCCCCAGAACATAAAGCGTTTTAAACGATACGGAGTTTTTTTTTTAAATTCTAAGCGCAGCAATGAATTGGTTTTTCAATTTGTTCGATTTTTTTTTTTTTTTTGTGTCTGTGAACCACTTTTTTACCCGAAATTTCGGTCTAATTAAAAAACGACAAGAAATCTTTCTTGTAGCTATTTCAATCAAGTTAGTATATTGAGAAGGAAATATTTTTAATTTGCAAGCAGTTTTTATAATAATTAGGAAAAAAAACGAACTTATTTTGATATTTTTCGATTTTATTTTTCTGTTAAAAATCTTTCTCCGAATTTCAATTGTAGCATTTTTTTTTTTTTTTTTAAAGAAAATACAAAAGAAGTTTTTTTTTATTTTTTTTGCATAGTTTTCCGGGAAAAAACTTTACTATTAATGATTTTATTTTTTATTAAAAAAGTTTCAGAGATCTGATATTTTCAATAAAATTTGGCAACTTTTGAGGCATCTGACATTTCTAGAGGTTTTAGTTTGGTTTTATGTTGTTAAAATTATAATGTTTGATCATAAGTTATCATAAATTGTATTTGGTGGTAAAAAAAAAAAAAAAAGATCCAGTGTAATATGTGGAGGTTTTTTTAAAATCAAATTTTGACGACATCCATAAAGAAATTACGAAATTCTAAAACACATTGTACCGAATTTACCTCAAAATTGTATCTCGTTGGTAATGGTTTATCTCTTCGTACAGATTTATATTAAGTAACATTATGTATTCTACCTTCCCAACTTTCCACCTGCCACCTACAGCAATGACGTACTTATCAGCAGTATAAGCTCTTTTTGTTTACACGCTTGTTATAATACGATAATAATATTCGGTACGATTTCGTGTTTCCTCATACATAAACATAATTATCTAAAGTTCCATAATGTCTTGAAAAAAGTATAGCCGAATCGAATTCGCTCTTGTTCAGTAGTCCGGCAGAAATCTCCTAGGAGTTTTTTTTTAAAAAAAATGTTTTTATGGCAGTACAGAGTAGTAGTAAATAACTAAATGTAATGTGCTTCTCGACGTTATACACGGTAAAAACCAATACGCGGGTATCTAACTTTACACATAAATAATTTATTTTAAATATAATCTAAAAAGAAAAAAAAGAGCTGATACTGGAGAAATTGAAAAGGTAGGATACATAAAGTTATTTCTTTTATGTATGTAAGCAACGATAAACTATTACTTGACGAAAGACGATTCCGAGCGTAGTTCGGTGGTAATATATAATTTGAATGCCGAAATTTTTTTTGCGATTTTCGTTTAAATTTGATTTCAAAACACTTATTAAAAAAAGGAAAAAAGTCATCAGATGATTTTGGAAATTTCACCACGTCTAGGTAAGTCCAATATAAGTAGCATTATCAAGTTTCAAGTTTCTACGTATATTTAAAACCGAAATACAGAAAAAAAACTCCCAACTCAAAAGTTTTGACAATGTTACCGTAAGAGAGTAAATCAAAATGGCAACAGAAAAAGTGTCTTGTGATTTTTCTATTAAATCATTTTTTCTGGTAGAAACGTGGTCGGTGTTTTATAAAACAATGAAATCGTGAAATTGTACGTTTTACTACGTTTTTTTCTCACTTAAGTGCTTTTATTTAAAAAAACGGAGTCGAAATCAAAAAATGATTATTTAGACAACTTGAGCTTTGAGAAAAGTTTTTACACGTAAAAATTGTAGCAAGTTTACTTTGAAAAAACGTGTCCACAGACTAGAACAAAGAACAAAGAAGAAGAAACAAACAGCACTGTAAAATCAATAGTTCTCTCGCTACACTCGGAATCTAAAAAAGAGCTCTATAGGAGATAATAAGAGACACGCAATAGAACGGGTAAAATTGAATTATAAGTATTTTTTTCTGAAAATCATACCTGTCGTACTATCGTGATTAAACCAACCGTCTTTTCCTTCTTTGTACATACAATACTTATGGTCTTTACAACCGTCTAAGAGTTTTCGCTGTGAAAACAACTGTCCGAGATTACGTTTCTTCTGAGTGTTCCACTCCCGGATTACTTAGATTCTCTTCGAGAACGTCAATTGCCCTTTTTCTGCGAGTGTACCGCACGAGGTCTCTTCTCCCGGGACTTTCTGCGTTCTAGCGCTGCTCTAACATTATCGTCCTCTTTTTGTACGACCTGCGTTATCATCGTCCTTTTACAATACTGGTCACCGTTACCGAGTTTTCTAGGGGTTTTAGGGATTCAACCCCCCCCCCCCCCTCCCACAAAATTTTTAATGTAGTTATATATTTTTATTATATAACAAAGACTAGCTGCAAGTTCATATATTAATCTTATTTTAACTGCTACCGCCGTATGATAAATGCGGCCACTATATATTGTATACCTTCACCGACAATTATTTTTTGTTTCATCGTAAACACGGCCACAACTCAGTATATCCATATTTTGTTGACGAACGTCTTTATAATTTCCGTTCTGTCTGTCAACGGTTTTCCGTTGTTCACAGCCGCAACATTTCCTGGATTTTAAAACAACTACTAAACTTACCCTTTTTACGTAATGACCTATAAATCAATCGGGCGCATTTCTCACGGAGGTACTACGTTTCTCGGCGGAGAATGCGTACCCGTAGTGTAATTCATTTTGCCTACATTCGAATAATTGAAAACGATGATAAATTATATTTTCAGCGCCCGACACCGAATTACAAATTGTTATTATTAAATTTGTCGCACTCTATTATTATTACACATGATTCTGTCGGTTTTTTTCCGTGGCGCCGAACTGCAGAGAGATATTATCGTCTAATCTGTAAAGTGCTCACCGTCTGAGTTCGCGTCACGCCGCTTGTTATGTATTTCTATAAAAACGGCCGTTTACGAAACGACGTGTGCGTTTTCAATATCCTCAAAAAGCATATAGGTACCAGCTACAATGTACCTGTTTAGAATTTGTTCGATTCATAAAACGCGTTAAATCTTTTCTAAAAAAAAAAAAACAACCCCCGTCTTCTTCTGTTAGTCTTCGACCCTTCGGTTGGTCGACTCCGTGCTTATCTCTGCCGAAACTCGAATAATCCTTCGACTCTCGATAACTTTTTATTCCCGTCATGTCTTCAAAAATTTGCAGTGCATATTCCATCCTAGGTCCTCGGTAATAATCGACTTCTATATAAAATCGAAATCTTCGAAAAGCTCTCAACGCGTGGTATGTGACCTGCGATATCGTGCCTTATATTTTTATTATAATTTGCCGAAATCTGCTATGATCAGTTAATTGAATTTCGGTATTTCTTTCCTCGGTTATTTTAAAAAGTCTTAATTTTATGTCATTCCGTCGCACCACGAAATCTCGATCATCTCGCGGCAGGCACCTAACACGCCACAGTTCCAATGCTTCAACAGTCGTCTCTTCTCGATTGATGTAGTTCATTGTCCGGATTTCACATTCGTATAATCTTATCTTCGTTTATTTTAGAAAATCGTGTATATGTACCAGTGCTTCCCAAACTTTTTCAACTCATGGTTTCAATTTTGAACTAAGGTTTTTTCAGGGCACCCTCGCAATTCATTGCAATCAAAAACCTTTACTGATCGGAGTATTATTATTAGTCCCGGCGTTTATCCCGTTATATGGCAAAAAGTATGTACCAGTAGTAAGTAAATGTACCAACGATATTGTTCTCGGTTATTTTTTAATTTTGGAGAAAAAATAATGGGAATCTAGACATTTTTTTTTTAAAATTGAACTACTGGGTATCCACATCGTTTAACGTACAATGCGAATAATTTGAAGCATTTTTACTGACCGAACATTTTGTGTTTTTCGAGATAAATCAGAAAAAAAGGGTACCGGCCTCACCGTTTCCGCTGTCAATTTAATTATAAATTTATTTTCAGACCAGCAAATATTCAAAATAGTTATGCGGCGCCCCCGTACACACACCGAGGCCGCAGATTATAACACGCCCAAAGTACTATACTCGATAACGTTTTAACACATTGCAACACTCGCGTAGGTTAATATTAATCGAGTTCGGTAAAAAAATATTCACTATCACTTGTATAATATTATTTATGATTATTATAGAATACGTTCCTAGTCCGTTTCGAGTTCTATACACAGTGATTATTATTGCCGTTTCGATACGATATCAACGATTATTACTACTTCACCGCAAAAAAAAAAAAAAAGAATAAGGTTAATACGAGTTATGATATTATAAAATATACATACTGTACAATTTGCTAGTCGAAAAAAAAATGAAATTTACCTGTTTCCCGTGGAAATTCTCGTATACTATTTACCGCTGGCGCTTGAACATGCCACCGGCTATATTATATGCACCCGCCCGATAATTTCCACTCATTATTTATTCTGTAACCGGTGTACCAATAATAATTACAATATTATTTGAATAAAGTAAATATTAATTTTAAATGGCTTTGATAATTAAATTGCTGGTTTTTGAAAAGAAATTTCGTAAAATGTCGAAACATTTTGAAATATTATAATATACCCACACGTTTTAAAACGATCGATACTCATGTTATTAAAATATTAACAGTTTTTTGTTATTTTTTTTTTCGAGGTAGAAATAATTTGAACTCTTACAAGTGTATACCGCGTATACCCAATACATAATATCTAAACGCATAGTTCAATAGCCGAGAAAACGGGGAAATAACATACAATCATATAACTAAATAATATACAGGGCGATTCATTTTTCATGAATTAGTGGCTGTTTTCGGTGGATTTAAGCGGATTTCTACGTTGTTTTTTTTTCTCAATCATTATATCAAATCTTTCGAGCTTTGTTTTAACACTGTTTTCAATCGTTTATCTCTACTACCCTTGTACCTTAAATGATTTTACACTTTTGGCTATGAAACAGCGTTCCCCGTCGTCCTTTAAATACAGATTCGAAAAGAGTATATTTTTCTAAAAAACGTCGATCATCTAAAAATGGATATGAACAATAAATTTATTACATTATAATAATAGGCGTTTAAACAGTCGTCTTCGCTGCAGAATTATTTGATTGATTTTTCAATTATTTAAAGTATGCGAGTACTTACGTCGAAACTGTCCAAGTCATATGTCCATCTAAGTAATCATACAGGCATATATAGTTTATATTTTATATTTTGAGTGGAGCGAGGAATGTATTGGTTTTACAGTGACTTTTTTTTTTCTTTGGACAACTTTTCTACCAGTTATCTCCAATTTACAATCATAGCACTTGTTTTAAAAGAAAATCTGACTGGGGTTGGACTTTAGGGAGGTCATTTGTTGATTTTCCCAGGAGTTTTCTCAATAAATGGGGAAAAACATGGAAAAATAAGTACAATATTAAACAAATGTTTAATGCATAGGTACTTGATTATTTTACCATAATATAACATATATATTGTTGACGAATCACTACTATCAACCGAACTCCACTGAGAAACATTTTTTCGTAAGCAATGGTTTATCGTTACTTACAGATATGCATTAAATTTCCATCTATATCCTATCTTCTCGACTTTCTGCCTACAACAGTGGCTGCACCCGTCCCCATCATCCAAGGACAGTGTTATAGTTGTATAATATAACAATATAAGACGTTTTTGCCTGTTTTTAGAGAAAATGAAACATTCGCTCTGTGCTGACGTAAACTCATCGTTGTCGTCGTCTTCAATATTCGTCACTTATGCACTTATAATATTATATTTTAATGGTGAACTTGCTTACATAAGTTTTCGCCCTCTCCATAATATAATTTTTAGAGACGCATCCGCCGAGTAACATCCGCAGTGAATTATATAACATTTTTCGGAAATCTGTTTCGAAAAAAAAAAAAAAGTACCGGCCAAAACTGTATATTGACATTTATTTCGTTGAAATAATATTATAGCCATGTCATGCGAGTTTATGGAACACAGCTTTACTGCCCGAAAAAAAGAAAATCCCATAATAAAATTAACTCGCTATAAAACTCCGCTACGATCAGATTTTAAAGTTAATAACAATTTACTAACAATATATTTTATGTTGCGCGCGTGTGAGCATATAAATTGAATTTCTAATTTGATTAGTTTCAACGTAATAGGACGCATATAGTCGCCCCGTAAAAAATATAAATTAGTTTTTTTTTTTTAATTATTATTTAGCAACGCGGGGAAAATCTGTGTAGGTACACGCATTAAACGGCACGATTTATTAATGGGTATTTAAAAATGGTGATATTTTCTATGCAGGTATTATATAGCGCACTCGGTTAACTATTACGTTTAATATCTCAAATTAAAAAAAGTAGCAGATTTACTGTCGACGGGCATTGCGCAATTGTAGGAGGGAAGTTGGGAAGGTAGGATATATAGATTTACTTTATTCGTATCTGTACGCATGGATAAATCGTCGCTAACGGAAAACGATTTTGAGTAAAGTTCCGTTAAACATGTTTTGAAATGCCGTGAATTTTGCGATTTTCGTATAAAATTAAACTTAACACGTCTACAAAAAAAACTACGTCACGCTCAACTTATTATTATTTTTACCATTAATGACTTGAATCAAACTTCAGGTTAAACTTTCAGAGCATTCTTGCTCGGTCAAAACAATTTTATCCACGTAAGACAAAATAAAAATAATTAGAAAATCCTAAACCCCTATAAATTACTTAAAAATCGCCAGAACGGTTGGATAATATACTGCGTCTGTATATGAAATGCTAATCTATAAGTATTCAATGCAAATTTTAGGTTTTATTACGACTATTATTAATCAAATTGCAAAAAAAAAAAAAAAATACAAAATGAAAAACCAATAGCTATTTTTCGTTTTTAGTTTTGTATTGCATATTTTTAGTACCTTTTATTTTTTCTCTGGTTTCTAAAGCCTCCAAATGCCTTCTGACATCCAATTCTTCTCCATTGTATATTGATTTCTCTTTCCTGTTTGAACATCCGCCAAGTAATTCGACATGATTTTAGATTTCTATTCGTACGTTTAGACCATCTTAAATACCCGTATCCGTTCGTCCATCCGTATAGTTGCAAATACACATAGTTGGGTTTGTTGATTTGGTTAACGAGGATTTAATAATTGTTATTATTGTTAATATAAATTCGTAGCGTTATTGTTAAATATGAGTAATGAATATCGACTCATACTAACCGATGTACCGAAGTACCGAAATACAACTGCTATAAGAATGTACAAAAATGTTCTGTTGATTATTTATAAATTAAATTGTTTAATTTATTTAGCTTCTAACATATAAATATACTTACTATGACCAATCTCGAGTTCACATTGTTTATGAAATTGTAGTTATGGTTGTTTGAAATGCGTTTATAAATTAGGAATTTCGGGCACTCGCAGATAGGCATTCCAAACACGTTTTCATTAAATCTTCGTATCTCGTTCTGGGCTTTTCTAAAGATTTTATTTTTACACGTATTCTGCTCAATCGTCGCTTTTATTTGTTCCGATTTCTATATAATACAAGCAAATCGCTTCTATTATAATCTTCCTCCGAACAACGTCCGTCGTATGTGTATTAAACTAAACGTGAATTAAGAATTAATCTAAATTTGCCTGTATTACAGGGTGTAACACGAAGATTTGAACCTCGAAATAACTTTTGTTTTGTTAAATGTTTTTACGTTTTATTATTTTCTAAAGATAATTTCAAGATCTTCACTATTTTATTATTTTTTAAAAATGTTAATGTTTTCTTTGTAATTTAAAAATATGTACATATACATTTAAAATATAGAAATCATAACGTAAGGGGGGGGGGGGCTCTGGTAATTATTACAGGAGCAAAGTTATACTCAAAAACATCATTAGAACACAAGCTAGTTTACAGTGAAACCTGTACACAACGGATAGTTACGGGACCATAAAAATGTCCGTTATAGACACAGATGTCCGTAACAGGTACGGGAAATGACGTTTCAAAGAAAAAATTAGAACGAACGGAAAAAAATGTACAACACTATATTAACGAAGCGAATAAACACTGAATAGTCTTTAAATTTTTCGTGAAGTCTACTTGAAATCGACTTTTTCACTTTTTAAATTTGTCTCCTTAAGTTCTAAAAAAGCCATAATAATAAAAAAGTAATTAAAAAATGGAACATTTAAATTTGTTGAGAAATTAAAATCAAAAATCAAAAAAGTTAGGGAGTCGATCTTAAATAGACTTTACGACAAATTCAAATCTGATTTCAGAATTCTTATCGCTTCACTGAATCAATCGGTACGTTGGAAACAAAACACGTTTAAATCCCCATATCTCACGTGTGTAACACAAAGACAGAAACTCGTGGCTTCCAATCCGCTTAAGAGAGGCGTGGGTTATACATATACGAGTGTCCGTTAGACAGGTTTCAATATATTTTCAAGTATCATAGCTCCGTGGTCCAGCCTGTATATACCGACTGCACAATAATATTATTATGTCGGTGTAACTTACGCGATAGAGAACACGATTGTTAATTGGTTTATTTAGAGGAAATTTCTGAAGCAAACTCTGGTAGTTACCTATATCTAATTGAATTTAATAATCCGTTACGTAATTCCGTTATTAGTTATCTAATTTCAAAACCACACATTCAATTACGTCCGTAATCCGAGTGTTCGACGCATATCATTTTTCGTAACACCGTATATTACTATATTAATGGAGTTTGAGTGTATACGCATACGTTGTCGTCGTACGTATGATATTGTAAATTATTTAGAGGCGTATGCACGAAATACATGCGGAAAATCGTCGAGCGCGTTAACGAACTACGTGGCAAAAAACGAAATGTTGAATTTTGACTGTACATCATAAAAAGCAGGAATCCCGCGAGAATATTTACTAATTTAAAATGGTAAGTATTATTCTGTAAATTCTACTACCTATACCTACAGCGTAATCCTTCTTGAATTAGTAAACCTTCGCTGCACAGCGCACTATTTACCGAGGAGGAAAAAAAAATATTATAATTTATAATGAATTTAAAATTCACAGACTGCGGCATATTATAATTACCATTTTTTTTTTTGGTTTTTTTTTTTTTATCCGTCAACACCGTTTTGAATAAGAAGGATTATTATAATCAATACATTTTTTACCCACACCTTCATCATCAATCTGGTGCAAATCGTCGATCACCGACAGTATATAGTCATTTATAAATAGCGTCTACCTATAATAATTGAGATAAATTGTTTTTAATAATTCGACAATGTTTTATCGAACCCTGAATTATTATAATAAGTGCGAATCGGAGTAATAATTAGTCTAAAAACATTATGGTTCTGGTTTTCAACATTTCCGACGGTTTGTTTGTGGACTTTTCTAAAGAAGTGTAAGGATAGTAATGCGTCAGCAACGTCATCAGAAAAGAAACACACACACAGCGTACAAGTGGCGCATATTACGCCAAAAGTATTCCTGTTAATAATGAGAGAGAAAGAAAGAAAAATTAATGTAACAACAATCTACCACCTTCCAATAAACTTAAACCATCAAAAGTTTAGTTAAACAATGGTACACATCTCCGGTTTTAGTCGGCGTCAAGATAGTTCTATCACTAAACGCGTTTACAAGACAGGGTTTTAGTGGTTCAACCCTCCCCCTCACAGAAATTTCACGACAATCATGATGAAAGTAGATTTTTAGTTGAGTCTCAAAAGTGGTTTCTATCAATGAGGAAGGTAAATTTCGGTTTTATTTTATTATCAGATATAGTATAGGTATATACTGTTATTATTATTATTTCTAATTTTTGTGGTTTTCCTGCTTTTAGAAAATCATAACTGATACTTCGATATTGCATAATTCGCATTATCATCACAATAATATGAATTACGTTATCGTTTAGGCCGTATTCACTAAATAAATATTCAATGTAAAATATAGTAATAGGAACCTTAAAGGCTAAAAATTAATGTTATAAACTATTGATATTTTCAATGAAAAATAAATAATCCTATAGTTGAAAGTATAATATAAGCTTCTTTGTTATAGGGTTATGAAGGTTTACAACCTTAATCCGCCCCCTGGAAATATTTCTTTTTGTAAACGCACTTGGCTATCACTAGAATAAGAATCGGGTAAATATCGGCCACAAATTCCCTTCTAAAAATCATCCACCAATATGCAAAACTTGTCTAACACGCGTTATAATAAAACATGCGTTCAAGGAATGCTCCATATATGAAACCGACACGTATAAATTCTTAGTCACCTGAGCAACATCAAAACAAAGAAATTCCAAATTAATTATTTATCGTAAATATTAAAATTGTTTATGTTACATACCTGAAAAAATATTGTATAGTAACCTTAAAAGTCTGCGAATTCTTAAAAAAAAAAAAAAAAAAAAAAACGTTGTTATAAAAATATTTCATACAAGACACTAATCGTACGCTCGGGTATTGTATTCCAACAACGCAGGAGTCCTGAGAGGGCACGGGGAACTGCACAGGTCATGTTATTATGTGGAAGTATGTTTACGAATTATTTTAGATTCGGTATGGGGCGAGGGAACTATTGGTTTTACTATGACGTGGGGTTTTTCTAAAAGGAAATTTTGTCTAGTTGGTGCATTATTAGAGAGGTTATTTTTTTGATTCTCCAAAGGGTTTTCCAAAATAATTGGGAAGGTTTCAGTGATGTGCACAAGACACTGTTATACCTACTTATATATCGTGTAATAAATTCATCGTTTTTTGCGCCGATAATATTAAACAATGCTGCATAGATTTTGAACAAAGTGTAACGTTACAATAATGATTTTTTTTTTCAGTTCATTTTTTGGAAAACTTTTTCTTTTTATACGTCACAATTTTTTGAGCAAATGTAATCATAAAGTTTTACAAACCCTTATTTGTAGATTTTAAATTGACGGCACTTTCAAAAGGTCATTTTATATTGTTTTACCCGTGGTAATTTAAAACTAAAATCGAAAACTTTATAGAAACAATGCAATTATTAACGTACAAACGATTTTAATAAAAACTCAATCATTTTCGCTTAGTATCAATAGTATTAATTGTATTGCTCTCGAATTTAAAATAATAAACGCATTACTTCTGGTAAATGTCGGGGTTATAGCAAGACAATAAACTTTCAAAAGTTTATAGCCGAGTAAAAAATATTCGAATTGAATAAATATAAATTATTATCTACAATGACCTAAGAGGCTAAGGTACCCTTAAATATTATTTGTGACGGTGGATATCAGTGTTTCTGATATTGAGAATTATAGAATATCGGATTATTTATTCGTGTTTTATTTATTGTTTGTTAATAGACTTCCATACATTAATGTTATATTCTATCACTTTATTTCTTCTGAGGCCCTATTTCAAAACTCGTATGAATAATACGAGTTTAATACGACTTACTAAATTTCCGTATACGGATGAAAAATTTAATTTTTAAACTACTCATATCCGTATAAACTTAACATCATTTCGCAAAACGTCCGTAGAAAAATGATATTCCATTGGATGGAAATGGCTACGTCGTAAATTTTCGATTTGACACAGTTTTTTCGAGATTATATTGAATGGTATTTAATCACAATATTCATAATACTTTTGTTATGTAAAAATCTAAAATAATCTTAATCACTAAATCGGGTATATACTGCAGTACATTATAATTAATTAATAATATTGTACAAAATATATGCACAATTTGTATTCTGAAGGAATGAAGTTTAGAATGTGGTAGCAAGGTATAAATGAATACTCTTTCTCGGATTACTATAAGTTTTTTAACTCGTTACCCTTCATTCTAACTTTCCACGTATTAGGTATTTAGGCACCTGTATTATAGTTGTAATTTCGTTATAATCGGACGGGGCATTATATACTCGTTGTAAAGTTTTATACAAGCTGGAGCTATAGTTTAGTAGATAGATAGGTTATGTATAATCTACATAATATTATACTAGGTATATTAAACTGCATTTAGCCTGTCCGTTTTTGTCGAAAAGTATTTTAATCCCTCTGACTATTACTGTCGTTTTAAATGTAATATTCGATTAAAATAATATTATGCACTTTACTACTTTGCATTATAAAACGAATAATAAAAACATATGAATGTAAAACTATATACTAGTATAATATTGGAATTCAACTGCGTATTCCTTGATAATATATATGGGCGAGTTATTTGTTCGATTCCACTTATAGTCATAGGTATAATATTAAACGAACTGCAGTATAATTTTATATTTGCATAATATGTATTAGAATGCATTTACTTTTTATCGGTGTATAATTTATTCGAAATCATCATAATGCACCTCAAAGTTTATATATAATAAACTGCTGATTAAGGAATGTAATACACATCATCTATGATGCTTCGGAAACTATTATTTTATTATTATACTTTAAACTATTTTACTTAGCGGGTACCTTATTATATTATAACTAGAGACCGAATTTATATTCTTCTATAATCCACAAAAAGGCGCTTAAAACCACCAAAAAAGCCCTGTAAAAAACACTTGAAACAATTAAAAAAGTAAAAACGATAGAGGAGTTTTAAATCATGTTTTTGTGATTTAAGAAATTGTTCTAATGAACTATTGAACCCCTCTATTATTCTCGCTTCTTACTTATTATTATATTTTTTAAGTGATTTTTTCAAGGCTTTTTGATGTTTTAAAGTGTTTTTTTTTTTGTGGATTTTAAGAATATATAAATCCGATTTCTAATTATAACATTATGCAACATATAGTATCACTCCGTTTATCGCAGTCGTTCTCGTCTCTTACATACGGGCCCGTTTAAAATAATAATATCATCACGTCGCGGTGATGTTCTCGAGCCTTATTTCGAAGTGTATCGATACAATATCGCAATATTGCGCGTGACGCGATTTATTAAAATAACGCTCGTGAAATAAAATTATATAGGTACCAATCGATCAAAATATATACCCTTGGGAGGGAATAAAACCCAATATAATATAGTACCGGAGACGTTTATAGATTAGAAAGTATGCTTGCTTCTTCCCTGTTCACGCACGTACGTAAATATAAAATATATAAAATAGAAGACGGCGGGGGGGTAGGGCGATATATTATATAGCGACGACGTTATTGGATTTCGAGTAGACGTGAAAATCGCGAAGGAAAAATAAATAAATAGCGAAACGTTGTAACCGGCTAAAAAAAAAAAAAAAAAAAATTGCTTTTTTAACACATGCTGGATAGGTAAAATTTTGTTACCATAAAATTAAAATAATATTAAAATGTCAATGGTTATATTAGTATAATAAAATTATCATAAGATTTATGAACATTACATGATAAAATTACCATGGTAATAAAAATAACGCGCTCATAAGTTATATTAATAGTAAAAACTCTCAACTGAGAAGCAAATGTGAGGCTTGCTGGGATTTCCAGATTCCAGTACTGTTAGCATGGATAATATATAAGTACGCAGGGTGATAATAATTTTATGTTACAGCAATTTCGGTACACAAATTTGCAAAAAATAGTATAATATAATGTATAATGAAAGAGCTGTATTGTTCTACAATATTATACGTATATGGGCACTGGACATACGAAGATGCCTTTTTGGAATTAACTTTTCAAATGTATATACTACCAAATATTTGTTTGCACAAATTATGTAAAGATTTTTTTTTTTTTTTAATGTAATCTAGTGATCGAAAAATATATTTTACAGCAAAACTATTTGCCCGAAGGCTGAGCGTTAAATTAAAAATCTTTAAATCGTTCAGTTGTATTTTTAATTTCTTTATCTATATGAATTAATGAATAGAATTTGTGAACTATTACTGTTTTTAACTTTCACGATTTTGACTGATATCCATTGAATCTGTATGCAACGGGCCCGGGCATTTCAGTGTGGCCATCTCGGCATAAAGATTTTTTCATAAAATAATTTTCTGCGACATAATATAATTTTTCAATATGAGTTTTTTAAGCGGAATATTACATAATTTAAGTATGATGAATTAAATATTTTAATTTTAAATATAATTTCTATAGTTTACCTAATTATATTATTACATATTTTATAATTGATAAATATATGAATATATTATATTTTTATTGTATATTTATACTTGTATTGTAAATGGCATTACTATTATACCTAACATAAATTAAAAATGACAACGAATATAATATGTTTAAATAAAACAAATATCAATTAATAACTGTAAATAACTTTTAACTTATAAATAAACGTCAAAATGACCATACGCCGAAACGGACCTTCGCTAAAACGGCCCTACGCAGATATGGCCACGCCGAAATGTCCTAAACCACGTATACAATATATACACGGAGTCCCACGAAGATATACCCATTGTAATATCTCCGGAGATAGTAAAGATAATCAAATTCCGTGTTATTATTATTTTTTTTTTTTTTAAATAAATCTTCTATCAAAACATACAAAACTTAATTGAAATATATATATATAATATATTTTTAGTCCTTATCCCAGTAAGTAATCTACAAAAAACCCAGAATTTCATTATGTTTATTATCTCCGGAGACATTACAATGGGTATATTTTCGTGGGACACCCAGCAGTATACTCGTATATAATCTGCGAGCGCGTCACTGTGGAATTCAGCTTTGTGGTTTTGTCAGCGTTAGTTGAAAATTGTCTCGTATAATATAGTCATGAAATAATAATATTTACCACATCTTCATGCACGGTCGTTTGAACACTTTGAACTCTCTCGCGATCGTCGTTCAAATTATAATATATATTGGCCGAGTGTAGACATTTCGGCAGATAATTTAGAACGATGTGTCGGGTATCGGTGTAGCGTTATTTCATTTAACTTCCGTACCTATATTACGAGTATATATTAATATGCTACCGAATACCGCGAACGGGCGGACGTATTTTCGAGTAATCGCGAAGTCGTATTAGTATAACCTTCAAATATTGCATAAGCAAGTACCATAAGTGACGGCACCGGAGACTTAGCTAAGCACGTTTCGTAACTAGAGAGTGTTAGTAAAGAAACAACTGCAATACTACGGATATTAATAGAGGATATGTTTAGGAGTTTCAATAATATGTGTAGTATTTGGGCTACATATATCACGTTTTATGATATACATATATATAAACGTTGTACAACGAGCTACGGTACACCGTACTAAGCTGCGACTTGCACATTTTCTCCCTGAAACAGCTTTAAAATCCGTCTCCTATAATGCTCACAGTGGTTAATTAAAGAAACTTTATTGAACTCGAATAGACCCACCGTAGGGTAGAAACGTTTAGTGTTGAAATCCGATAAAAAAAAACACGGAACGTGGGTAATTTAATTTAAACGCAGATTTTCCGCATTTATTTATGAAACTATAGAATCTACCTATACAAATATATAATTTAGTTTTGTTTATGTATATTATCATTTTTATCTTTTCAAATGGTTCGCTAAGTGTCCGATTTGACAGTCGTTTCAGAGAGATAGTCTGTGGGTGGACTATTGTGGGTAAATTTAAGAAACAAAAAAAAAACAAACTGTAGAAATCTCTAAAAATTGTTATATATTCTCTTTAAATATTTCTTTAAAATTAATATAAGTCAGCGACAAAATGAAAATAATTTGCAATTTTAAGAAGTTTTAAAAGTAATATTACTGTATACTTTTCAAAGTTATTTTTTATTAAGTCTGTTTTTGTTTTTTAAATAAAAAAAAATGTTTTTTTTTCACCTTTTTAGTTACCTACTTAATTAAATATGAATTGGGCAAATTGGAAATTTATCAGCACTACTACTGGTATGATCGAGTTTGGTGACAAGGAATTATAAAATTGAATCTTTTTATGGATATAATATTGTGTACTCGTACGAATCATGTTACTTTGCGTAGTGTTGTTGGGATATTTACCTCATAAAATCTTCATGTATTTTTCGTCTTAACTAACTCGCAACACACGTTTAGGTAGCGTTAACATCTGAAATTGTTCTCTCGTACCAGTCATACCTCATAAAAGCTGCTCACTTGGAGTCAGGACTACTCACTTTACTATTACCGTTAGATAGCTCAATTACCATTTTTTCGAGTTCCGTGATCACATGAGACCACCTGTGAAGTGTATTCTTTTTAACAAAAAGAAAATCTTCGAAATCGATACATATTTATTGAAGTTTAGCGCACACATACATATAGATACACAAAAAAAAAACCGCTGAATATATGATTATCATAACCTCCTTTTTAAAAGTAGGTTAAAATACAAATGTACTTATTTCCATATACGAAAGTAACTTTTAAATTATTAATATTTTTATTTGCGATATAAAATACAATGTCTAGGCGTTATCAAAGAAATGTAATAATCTACTGTATAGGAATTAATATATAATATTTAGCAATTTAATGTCTCTCTCTCTCTCTCTCTCTCTCTCTCAATCTATCTATCTCTCTTTCTCTCTTCGAGTTATCAATCTTTCGATTGTTTAACTGCAGTACTTCAAATTTTCGACAGTTCCATTCATTTTGTTTAACGTATGTATCTGTACACCATGCTTGGCCTTCCTCGACCAACCTGACCCTCCGCGCTATCATCCATAATTATCTTATAGGGGAAAGTGAAAGCGGAAACTATGAAAAAGAACAGGCGGACAAGTCACGGGAAAACACTTGACGAACTAAACAGCGGACAACTAATATTGCACAATAGGTACTACTAATATAGCACCGTAACACACCAGTATAACAGTATACGGTTGTACGTCCTACGATTCCTGTTTACGAGTTTTCGCGTACTTCAAACTACGGCTAAACTGTTTTTTTATTTTTTTTTTCCGCAATAAGATCGGCGGTTTCCCGCTTTACTCTTGTCAACCGCCGTTATGCTCAGTGGCGCGCTGAACGTTATTTTTATACTTGAGGCGAAACAAAACCAACTTAGAACCCGCCCAATTGAAACACCGACATCCTACAAATAATTACGGCGAAAAAATGTATTGAGCTACATCGACTGCATAACGTCATATGCGCATAAGAGTGGATTTCACTTATATTACCAATAAAATACACAAAACTAAACACGTCCCGTGACCCCCGGACCGGTGGGTATCGATCAACATCGTTCGGCGTATTTGATCGGTCACCCGCCGCCCGCCCGTTTTGTTCGCGAGGCGATCGCCCGAAAGGACAACCCACACCACGGCACGCCGCCGCCGCACCCACCACTTGGGAGTGTTTGCGTTTCCCGTCGTATCCGTGTTATTAACGTTATCGATAACGCGTTATCGTTCTGTGACGAGGTGAACCGGTATAGTCGCAGGAAACCGACATGTCGTTCGGCGACGCGTTCGAAAAAAAAAAAAATAAAAAAATAAAAATGGTACCGAAACGACGTCGGGTTCGGGCCGTCGCGGGAAAAAAGCGGTTACGCCGCCGCCGGTGAATCAAAACGGATCGGTAATAATAATAATGGGGCATTACGTATTCCGCGCGGTCGGAAATTAACGTCGGGACGGATTTCGCCGAAAACTCGACGTACCGCCGCACCGACGCAGCCGACGGTTTTGTAATTAATCAGTATCGCGCTCGTGTCGGGGGGGAGGGGGGTGGGGGGTGACGGAGCCGCGGACGGTGGAGAGGTGGATGAGTGGGGGAGGGGGCGAACCGTATTACGCCGTGGGTAAATAATTGGATTTCGCCGCGCGCATGCGCATGCGCGCGCGGATATTATTATAATATTTTTAACGGTAATTCGCCGAACTCCCGAGTCGTAATTGCGTTGCGACCCACGGTCTTAACAATAACCGCCGAGACGTTGAAACGACGGCGGCGCGTTTGATTTATTGAAAAACGATTCTTGTCCCGACGCGCGCGCGTCTTCTCCCCCGGCCCGGCGAAAACTCGTTCCTTCGCCGCGGCCGGCGCGACCGATCGTGTGGTCGCGCCGGCCAATTCGGAGTGATCATCCGCGGCGGCGGCGGCGGCTTCCGATTTCAACGCGTAATTAGGTTGGGGCCCCGGGCGCCGGACCGACCGTACGAAATGTCTCGCACGCTCAATAACGCCGACGGCAGCAACGATAATATTAGTAGTAATAATATTATCGTCTCCTCCGTTTTTACCGTTAATTTCCAGTGGAAACTAATAACCGTATCGCATTGCACGTCGCGTATGCAAACGGCGTACCGGCCACGATACGCGTGTGATCGTCGCGGACGGCGACTGCGGGAAAGCCGGTCCTGCAGTGGATAATAATCGATAAATCCGTCAAGACCGTAAAACCGTTCGTGCATTCCGAGTGCAAACCCGCCCCTCTGTGAATCGCGCGCTACGATACAATAACGTTGACCCCGCCGGCGATCCGGGAGTCCGCTATTGTAACGCGAAAACGCGATTCGGTTCGCACGCGTCGTTTTCCGTCATTCCGTCAAATAACCGTTGTCGTCGATCGGCACCCTACCGCCGGCGGCGGTGCCATCGTCGCTGTTTACTCAACGCGTTTCGCCAACCCTCCCCCCCCCCACGCCGCCCGACGAAACGTACGTATGCTGTATCCGTTACACCGGCACACGTTTCCCTCCCCTGCCGGTCGGCCATTTTTCGTTCGCTTTTCCTCCGGCGACTGTAATATAAATTTATAGGCTGCGCACACCTCGCACTCGTGTGTGTCCGTGTGTGCCGTGCGTGTTATATTTCACTTCTCGCGTGTACGGCCAAGGGGGGAACGTGTACACTCGGACCGCGTCGCGTTCCGCAGGGCTTTCGCCGGGGTCCGATCGAATTCCGATTTTATAACGTTATTGGCCGGGCCGGCGCGAGCATTCCGAACCCGACGTTCGTTGTTTCGGTTTTTTTCACAGTGCTACAACAACGTGACTACCGTAACTACCCAACCTAACCGTAACGGATGATACGGCGTTTTTTTATATATATATATTTTTTTATCGAATTCTCTCCCGCCCTCCTCTCCCCCCCCCCGGAAAATAGAATTGTGTCGTGTCCGCGGGCGTATATATATATACGCCGTGTATGATACAATAATATACACTTTTGGACACCTTACGCGGGTCGAACGAGCTCAAATTCGCCAATCAGAGTTTGTGGTTCGATTGAAACTATACGTTTCGCGATTCGGATTTCGTTATGAATTCCGCCGGGTTGTTGCGAAAGGAGGGTGTTTTTATTTTTTTTTTTTTTCGTAACTAATAATAATGTGTGTAGTGTAATAGATTATATCAGTATTGTATTTTTACGTCGGGTTATTATCGATTTACGAAAAATAGTATATTTTTTATAGACCGGGTACATTATTCTGCTCGAACGACGGAGCTCTGTTCGCGGGTACTTTTTGTCGTTGCACGGGTAGCGCAATCGTCCGGCTATGATTTCATCGACCAAAAAACGAGTGCAGGGGAGGGGCAACGTTGGTAGCTATTATAAAAAATAAAAAAATCGACACAAAGATTGCGTATACAACATGACATATCGTAATCATTACGATTGCCTAAGTAGATACGAGTATTTTTTTTTTTTTTTACGTATAGTTGTAACAGGTGGTCGCGTGCAAATTAATTTCCGATTTCGCTGCTGTTGATAATGACGATAATATTATAGTATTATTATTAGAAAAAATAATTACCGGGTTGCAATTACGTGATATGCGTATAATTACGCGAAACCGTCCGATCGATTTTCACCCGTAGTCGACGGTATTGTTTGTCAAATACATACATATTGTCATTATCATACCGATTGGCATTGTTCTCACGCCCGGGGGAGTTATTAAATTTTTTATCAACCGGTCAGTCACGCAGTTGCGCCCCTGTTTTTTTCCCCCCGGTAACCAAGTTAAACGCCTTAATACAGTTTCACGTGAAATACGCGACTATTTAATATTCGTTTTGCAGTAGTATTGAGAATGTTAAATATATATATTTTTTTTCCTATTGATCAATATTATTCGGGTCAACAAATCCTCGCCCGACAAATTTCGTTTAATATTTTAATATTATAAATAATGTAAAGTTTAGAGATAAATATTATTTTCTGGCAGTGTTCACCCCATAGCTTTTGTTTACTATAGGTGAGTAATTTATCGAATTTTCCAGTCGAACAACTCGGAAATTACTGAAAACTAAAATAAAAATGGAAATGACATCGTGATAAAATGTTATGTTAAAATATTCGAATTCGGTTTATCGAATGAAAAATGTCAAAAACTCCCCATTCGTATAGACATTATCAGGAACCGTGCTGTTTACATGCTGAATTCTATGATTCATTATTATCTTACAGACAAGTATAGTTTTTTTTTTTAAAACAAAACTATACTTATTGCCGAATCAGATGGCGGAATGGCATGCAATGGGAAACTGTACGCATAATATTTAAGAGTTTCGAGAAAAATAAATGCCTGTATTTTTTTTAAATTTATAAGAATCAAGGGAGGGGATGTCGAAATTCAAGAAAACCCTACGAGATCAGACGTAGTTATCCGCGAAAACGAAAACTTCACTATATTATTTTGACTTTATCGGGTAAAGTATCTTTATGTAATTAATTAATAGTCTTATATTTTCGCTAATTAAAACGAATCAAGAGTATTCTCAAAAAGTCAGCGCGTACATAATAATATATAGGTTTTTTTTTTCATCAAAAGCAACGAATTATCATCGCATTTCAAAAACGATTCTGCGTAAAATATCCCGTAAAACTGTGACAAAATTATTATTAGTTATTAAATCGTTTTTCTTTCGTTTGATGATGTGTTTTATTAAATTGTCCTCGATTTGCATAATATACCGTGAGTATACGGAACCAAAACTGCACGAAATTGAACATTTCAACGTAAAGTACGAATATTTTGAACGTATAATAATAGCTAGGCGTGTCTGAAAAAACCACGCACCCAGAATTTCTAAATTATAATATCCACCCGAATTTTGGATATATTATTTTTATTATTATTATTTCTTGATTCTTTGTGCATCGACGGGAAAGAAAATTAAATTCCGTTCTTCTTCCATACGCCCGATATGAAAAAGAAATTTAAAAAATATGGCACATACCTAATCTAAAATATTTCAATATTGTTCCTTCTGTTGCTTTAGACCATATCACTCGCTTGAGAGCTCACGTTTGGAACTTAATCGGAAATAACTTTAGACGCAAAATCACGTCGGTAATGTTAGCGTGGATAATTGTCTACGTTTTTTTCCGTAGAATTTCGCATTTTGGTTAACACGGTGGAAGAACCGCCCGAGGATCAAATAAAACTACTTTCGATTGAACCACGACGTTGATCGAGATCGAATTATAAATGTTATTAGTATCGAGATAATTTGTTTGATAACGTACAACTATACAAGTAATCTGATAATTCTCCGACTCATAATGATTGATTTATGTACGGTTAAAAAGAGTGAAAGTATCAAAAGAAGTTTTTATATTATTATTAGTCTCTCTTCTAAATTTTGTTGAGATATCTCGATAAGTGATTGCGCCCAAACAATGGGACTTTTTGTACATTTTTGCGCGAACGGTTGGCGTCAGCCAAAGTCATAAATTCGAAAATTGGGGCTACCGCTTTAGTTTTTATAATAATCTGGTAAGTTTTTGTGATGATGCGATTGCACTGCAAAAAAGGAAACGTCTGTATATAAACGATTGCCGCGTTTAAAAAATTGAAATTTTGAATATTTTCATTGAAATGAACCTCGCGAAATTTGTTTTCGAAAAAAAAAAAAAAAAAGTAATTATTGAAATTCGGATAAATATTTTTGGTAGAAAAACTAAATCAAAAATAATTAATTTTTTAACGCTATAAATTTATTCGTTTTTCTTTTCCGATTACTATAACGGAAACTACTCGGAAAATCGAAATATTACTCCGCTCAACTGTACAAACTATAAAACCGAAACGCTACAACAAGATTTCTGGGTTGGAAAAGTCGATAACAGGCAACAGGAAACAAAAAAGACGCACACGCGCGCGCCATGCGTTATAATAAAACCAATACCTACACACCCGTTGTGTTGAACGTGTTCCGCGCGTAATTTAAAACAATAACGCTTCGAAACCATCGACACCCAGAAGACAAAGGGGATCATAAACGTTTAATAATCAAAATTCGTCGTTACAGTATACACGCGATGCATTGTGTGTGCGTACGATCGTCGGCCGGTTTACACACGATTTCGGTCCGACGGCTGCGTAATAATATAATACGGGGTTTATGCAAATCGCCGCGGTTCGCATGTATACGTTGACACCCGCATTATGATCTCGCATTGTAATAATATTACATATTATTATACCTCCGTGTACCTGTATGCAAATAAACCGCGATTGCCGCAACAACAGTCTCGGATATACACTTTTGCCAAAACGGACGCCGTCGTCACGTTCGCGGTCGTAATACCGAGCAAAAGCGAAGAACGTGCGTGCGTAATGCCCGTGTATCACAATATTCGCGGATGGTCACGTTTTTACGCACGCGGGCAAAAAGCATAAAAATACTGTTACATATATTCATTTGTATGTGTGTGTGTGTGTGTGTGCGCGTGTATTCAAAGAGGTCCATATCGTACAGACGGGGACATTTTTTTTTTCAATTTTTCGTCGGGCTATCCCCAGAATTTATTCAAAAATATAAAAACATTTACAATTTGTGTTAAGTTCCGTAAATATTGATAAACCCCGTATCAAAACGGTTAAAGTTCCAAAAAAAAAAACAAAAAAAAAACGGATAAGCAACTTTTCTATCGGAAACTTTTTTTTTTTACATTTTGTAGTTGCGGCGTAATGAGAAGATTATTTTTTAATCTCTATTGTAGTTTTCAGAATAATTGAAAAAAAAGAAAAATGTAGGTAGAGTTTCATTTTTTTCATTATTCGGTTGAAAATCATAGAGATCTGAAATTTATACAGAATACTTATAGCGTTTTCCACATGACTGCGTCTGATGCACTGGTGCACGTTGTTCTAAATCGGGTGCGCGGATGTGTTAGGGACAATCTTTTTTGTGTTTCCACTTCCATACACTTACTACAGTTTTCACACTCAGTGCATTGATAATCGAAAGTGTTCCTAATAACTACGATGGACTTTATCAAATTACTGATAATATCATTGATATTATAAGCAAAACCTATATTATTTTGACATTATAAATCATGTATGGCCGATCGCTCCGTACCTATAGCACTGTGATTGTGAACAACCAGAATATTTTGAAAACATTAAATTTGAACAGTTATTATTTGTATACTTATACGTATTATTTCAATTTCCAAATTAAAATTTTCCATTCAAAAAAAAAAACAATAATAATTACAAATTTCGAAATTCACCAAACTAAATACAAGACAAGCCGTATGCGACTACATGCATAAAAAACACGCCATTCCACGATTTGACATTATATATTCCAAAACACAAAACCAATAAATCGTAATCGAATATAGAGTAAATTCTCCTTGGGGTATTTTGATTTCTAGAACCATCCAATCCTCTCTGTGAGCTGCTCTTGTACTTTCCAACCTGACCCTCCGTTTAAAGTTTCCCCGTTGTTTCTCACCACGTATCCATCGTCTTAAACGGAGGCCCCCGAAGGGTATCTCAATTCTGGATCCTCTTCCGAAACAGCGCGTAAAAATAGAGGGTTCTGACTTAAAGATTTTGCCAATCGTGACCGATCCATTGTAATCTTCTACTCAAACGTAAACATTGGAATACGTTATGTTTCTGCAGGGAAAGTTCCTCTAGCTCGTTCTGTTTCCACATTCTCCATTCACCGGTTTAGAATCGTTCAATTAGAACTGCTGTATTTATAATAGTCTCGAAAATAAAACCATTAAACGATTCTATATACCTTCAGTGACTGGTAAAAATCCACATCAATTTCACTCAAAATCATCATAGATAATCGCTGGATCGCGAATAAGTACTTAAAGGCGATCATTGGGAGAGGATAAACGATTTTTTTCAAATAACCTAATCCGTCCTAAAACTCTTATACCTATTTCTTATAATACTTATTTTGAATTATATAACCGTTTGTCAAACGCCAAATTTCATTCTATATAAATTAAAACTTTTTTTAGTTGGAAAAAAATATAATAAGTTAGGTAATTTTATAATTATAAACCAAATCCAAGCAAATAATTATCAAAACGTTGGGTGCATAATATAATAATATAGCAGATAATAATATCTCTTATACAGCTATGATTTTTTAAACGATTTTTAAAATTTGTTTTTTTACATCAACTGAAATTTCGAGATAAAAGTCTGTAGGTACCTGCATAGAATTCACTCAAAAGGCATAAAGTCAACATTCTAGTGTTGTTCACTCGGCGAGTTCGTCCCAATTAAAAAGCTCCGGAAAAATGCATAAATTATTATATTTCCAGACGATTCCTTCTTTACACTTTGCACACAAAAAAATAATAATAAAAACCGTACTCCAGACCGCGTGGATGAAATTACATTTCATAAAATATTAAAAGTCATAGCGCATACGTCATCGTTGCGTATAATTTAATTAAACGCAAGTATATAACTGTTAACAAACGGATGTCAATGTTTCGTAAAAGAGTAACTCTGTTTTTTTTTTTTTTATGTTTTTCATTTCTTACGGAGATTGAAATAAATTACATAAATAAATCACGGTATCAGTTAAATGGATTACACGCAACAATAGCACAGCAGCGCGTTTGAAATAACGCAGTCAGCTTAGGCAAGGTAAAAATTCCAATGGGTTTGATATAATAATAATAATATATAGGCAGTAGAGAAAATAACCGCGAATCGTTTTGTTACAGAATATTTGACTTCTGACGAGTGATTCCGATTGAAACAATTGATTTTTCAGTCCGTAAACGAATATAATATTATAATGTTACTGCCATACTCGTTCGTTAGTATATTTTGTACTCGGTGAACCGTGACGAAATTTTTTCGAGTCCGGACATGTTGCCGACGGATACCGGGTCGAAATCGCTGAAAAAATATTCATAAAGTCCTCAACATATCAATATGTTAAACAGATATACATATAAACAAACTAGATAGCTGACAACGATACTATAAACGAGACTGATCACCATTTATTAAGTGTGTAAACACAATGTTATCATTAATTGATATACAGTATCATTTTTAAACAGACATTGCTTCTAAATGTTCAAATAGCCGTAGCATTCTAAATGAACGTTTTCTATACCTACTCTACTGTTTTATAAAATAAGCTATTTACATCAGTAGGGAATATTGTTATTATAATTATTATATGCGTTCGAACCAGTGGCGTGTTGAACGAATTTTCGGTGAAGAGCGAAAAAATACCCATTACAACAGAGTTTACTACTGAGGCCTACGATGCACACGTTCGTACTGAATTGTTGAACTATAATTAACAGGTTTTATGCGGTAGAGTGTTGGACGTATGTGACATAAGTTGTTCGAACGGAAAAATTATTATATCGCCGGCTGAATCTGCGGCACCGGGTCGACGTGAGTCCCCAAAGAATAACGATGCGTTTTCAACCAATCGCGCGGCCTCGTCCGTATCGAAACAATCGCTCGGGCGAGGCGTAGGGGGAAAAAAAAATCAACTGTTCGGTCGTTTGCGCATTACGAGCTTTAATAAAACAAATACCATATGCCGTCGGTCAATAACGCGGACTCTCTATGTAGGTACGGATATTTTTTTCGACTTATACGATAGCTAGACCGTTTGTACCGGTCTCGAATACATATTGTGTTCGTTTCGAAAATAAAAGACCCACAGCGTCACGAAACCGAATAAAATCAAGCCCGCGCGCGAGTTCTATTCGGTATTCGCAATTTTTCTTTATGCCGTATTCGAATTTCTCGATTTGAAATAACCGAAACAAACAAACTGGGGGGGAAAAAAACCTATATTATGAGATACTTTTCGGTGTACCGTACTTCCTGATATTTTGATATTTTAAATCTTGAGCGGAGCCCAGAATATATTGGTTTTACTATGACGTGTGCTTATTTTTGTTTTTTTTTTTATGTGTCTGTGAACAACGTTTATACCGGAAATATCGCCCCAATATGCTCGCATATGTAGCGTATTTTTCTAAAAGATGATTTTATCTTGAAAGTGCATGAACATGTCGTATTTGAATTTTCTCATATTTTTCTTAACAATCGGGTAAAGACGGGAAAGCGTACGAAAATAACGGTCTCGTTATTTTTGATTTTGTTGCGATTCGGTTAAAAATAGTTCTAGAAACGTCAGATTTTCACCTGAATACTGACATCGGCGTTTTACGGACGCGGTAAACTCTCCGTTTAATACTTAAGTTATTTTTGTTTGGTATTGATCGAAATTAAAGAAAACACGGCGATTCGGTAAAAGTTATTTTTCTCTACAGAACAAATGCAATGTCACTTGCTGCCTTTTGTCTTTTGGCAAGAGGGCAGTGTACGTCACTGCAAATCGAAGGACACCTTATATTATAGCGGTCTCGATATAGTTCATCGTAGCGCTATTATATTATATAATGGCGACGGCGGCGGACCGTCTTACTTTTAAATGACACGTAAAATGTACATAAAATAAAAAGAAAGGTATAGTCCTCATCGATATTATAACGGTGCGCGTCGATAGCACACACACACACACACACACACAAAAAAAAAAAAAGGTATATTATCCAAAGAAAAACTTGCACGCAACAACGGAATGGACATGAAATATAGTAATGGTATAAACTGCATATTATATTACGAATTCGCAAACTGACGGACGACGCCCTCCCGATACGCATGCGTGTAACAAAAGTACGTTTTTATTAGGCAATAACTATAGTCAATATAAATGGCTCCTCAATAGAAGCGATTAGTACCTGCGCTCTTTTTTTCAGTCAGTTATCGGGAATAATCGAATCATTTGGTTCCAAACGAGTCCCGTTAAAACACATATTATAATATTAAAAACGACGTCCTAGGATAATGGGGACGGGCGCAGCAACTGTTATAGATAATTTAATGTATACCTGTAAGTAACAATAAGCCATTGCTTACGAAAAAACGATTCTGAGCGGAGTTCAGTTGATAGTGATGCTTTGTCAACAATAAACAAGTCATTTTATAATAAAATAATTAAATAGGCTTCATATATTTTCTCTAATGATATGTGTTTAATTTCGTACCAATTTTCCCAGTTTTCCTACGTTTTTCTAGGTTTTCCCATGTTTTATCTCGGTTTATGCCACTTGATGAGAAAACTTTTAAGAAAATCGAAAAATTACCCCCTAATAAAACTTTCCACACCGATTTCCTTTCAGAAAACGTGTTACACTTAGAAATCTGAGCAAGTCGTCTGGTAGAAAAGTTGCGCACAAATAAAAAAAAATAATAATAACATCTCTGTAAAACCACAAGCTTCTTCGTTTCACTCAGAATCTAATATGAGTCAGTACTTACAAACTAAAATTTCCTTATTATTAAAAAAGAATTACTCAAATAAGGATTCGGCAACAATATAAAAATATCCAATTAGATACTTATCAAAGTCTTAAAATGGAGAATATAAAAATGTTAAAGTTACTTTGCATACCATATTTTATATTATATATATTTTTAATTATTTGGAACGAATCTTACTTAATAACTATTTTTATCGCATAATAATATGACGTCACACTATCTGAACAGTGAGTTCAGATTGAGATTTCGTAGAGAAATTGCTAACATATTATGTTCAAATCATAAAACATCAGAAATTAATAACATATTGTAATCAAAGTATTAAAACCTCGAGGCTATAAGAAGGGACTTATAAAAACGTAATATATATTTACATTGTAGAAACGCAAGGATGTGAAACTCGTGTTATAAATAATACCGAGAAGAAAAAAATACTTTAAATTTTTGTGACGCCGGAAGCGTAAATATAAATGATAAGTTGGACGTAAAAAGATACAAGGGATATTTAAGGAAAACTTACGCATCGTACGGCGCTACTCGTGGATCTGATTAAAGCAAGACGTTAGGGAATATTAATTTCCTACTGTAAATCGACTGCCCCGAGACACAAAGAAACCTATATAAATATATTATAGGGCATAATGTCTTTTATCTCATGTTCTTTTTAATCATTCGTGAGGAGATGACTGCAAGGCGAATTCGTAACTTTCTTATATACCGGGCATACATTTAAAATTATGCAAAAGACAAAATATTTAACAAACTGAAATAAAATGCGAACAATCGATTAAACGGAGAAAAAGAATTGTATGCCAACAAACGGGTTGAGAAAAAAATATGCACCTACCAAACAAAATGTGTTATACCAATACGGAATAATCCATGCCCATCGTACATTTTGTATAGCCAACTTGCAGCGCCCGAAATCATAATACACATGTACCCGAAATATGTTTAATAAAAGCACACAACAATTTTCAATTTTTTTTTTAAAAAATTCATTAATATTTTTTTCTCATGTAGAATTGTCAAGCATTTCTAAAAATTATGTAAAAAACTCACAAAACTTAAATGTCTATACATATCTAAAAAATTAGCTCAAATGTTTGGAAAATTTAACTCTTCTGAAAATGCAAATGTAAGTTTTCTGTCCAAATTTCGAGTTTACAATATTTTTAAACTTGAATTTTGGATCTAGTTGCTCATAAAAAAATCGGTTTTTGATTTTCTGTAGTTTTTAAGTAATACCGATAATATGTAGAAAGAATTTGAAAATGTACAAAGTTACTTTTATTATTTTTAACTTTGTTTTTTTTTTGTTATAATTTTTTTATAAGTAACTAGATCCAAAATTCAATAAAAAAGGTGTTTTTTTTGTTTTTCTATTTGAACAATATTTCTGGTAAAATCTTGGAAAATCAAAACGACTTACGTACCAACTAGTTAAAATTTCTTTTCGGAAAAGGTGCTACATTGGAGCAAGATTATATCATTTTAATACCAATATACCAATACATTTCTCGCTGTACGCTCCGAATCTTAAGTAATGGATACAATTTGGACGTATAAAACTATTAAAACAAATATTATCAAGTTATAACAGTCTACTTATCTGCTTAATCTACAAACCTATTCTCGTTCATAAGATTTAGTTTTTTTCATTTTTAAGGTAGTATCTTATCATATGGGTGAACGCGTTTGTTCAAATTGTTCAAAGTACATTTGGGCTATTCTCAGATTAAGCTTATCAAAATACTTATATCTCTGTATATATCAATGGTTGAAGTCTTCTGCAGCGGGTCAAATACTGGTTGACAGATAAGAAATAATAATACTCTGCTCAGAAGCTAAAAACGTAAACTCCTGGGTTTTGTTTTAGAGCTAGCTTTGAACCTCATAAGCCACGAATATCACAAAAGCAACTTTTACAAAAACAGCGTTTATACGACGATATATTATGTACGGAAAGCAGAGTGATTTTCGGTAGAAACGTGTATGAAAGTGCGACGCGACGCCCGACAGTAAAATAAAACGAAAGTGTGCGACAATAGTCATTATCGCCGTCATAGTCTCGCGATAGTTGCTTCTGAGGTAGTTCGAACAGTTACTCTCCACCCTGTTTTCACGACGACGACTATAGTTTATATTTATGTAATAGTAACTGTATTATCGTGGTTGTGGATTTTCGCAATAATCACGTTATAGTAACTATATCACCGTGTATTAATGTTTCTAATATTTTAAACGCGAATTTCACGAAAATCGGGTGTGTCGATACTGAAACGTATAATATAGTCCTTATGGTAATCTTATAATAAAATACAAAAAGGTCGGCGAGGGAAAAATCGATTTTCGTCCTGCGCCGAAAACCCGAAAAGCCGTCGGTTTTTTGCGGGTCGTGGTCCCGTCCACGATAATATTCCCATAAACGTATTATTAATTCAAGGTTCGAAAACATTTACATAACGGTATACTTGTCAAAAAAACGATTGAAATTTGATAAACGTAACTAAGCAGAAAACTATAAACAAAAAAAAAAAATAAAATAAAATATCGTAAAACAAAAAGTACCTAACGTAAAAAAAAAAAAAAATCAATAACATCATTAAATAATGTATAACGTTAATTTAACCCGTTTGTTTTTTATTTTAAATTGGTTTTCCATTTACCATTAAATTATGAAAAATACAGATTTATTATTATCATAGAATATTCGGAATAACAATCCAACCGCTTTATCTAGAGCTAGTAAATGCAATGTTGTCGGTGATTTTATTTAAATTGAACGATTTATATTCAAAGGACTATTGTGGATTTTGGAAAAGCTGCAAATTTACCGAAACCATAGTTCGAATACGCTGTAGACCACTTGTGTGACTATTCTATGGCATCTATACCTATACACTATTTTTTTTTCCTTCTGAATGTTTCTGATTGCGGTTTATGTTAAAATTATAACACGAGTATTTGAGTTTTATTACTAACGCGAACAAAGTACTACCATTTACTATTACTATTGTATCTACCAAACAATGTACAAGACGTGTACCCAGTGTATAGAAATTATAATATTAAAATAAATAGAAAAACGGCCTAAAAAATGATTATAAATAAATAAATACGAAACACCACTGAAAAAATAATAATGTGAAAAAGATACGTACATACTTCGCACGATGGATGAGCCACTGTTATTGTAGGTGAGAAATTGCGAATGTAGGATATAGAAGGAAATCGAATTTATATCTTTACGCAACAATAAATGTTTGCTAACGAAAAACGATTCTGAGCGGAGTTCGGTTATAGGTACATGTTTTGGAAGGCCGTAATATTTACGAATTGTAAATAACACATTTCGTACATATTTTCGTTTTTCCTACGTTTTTTCCAGGTTTTTCCCATTTAATATGAAAACCCTTTGGAAAATCGAAAAATTAACTGTTTAAAGTACCACCCCAGACAGATATCTTTTCAGAAAAAGTGTTACATTTGAAAACCGGAGCAAAATTTTTGGTGGAAAAGTTTACGAATAAAATAATAATAAAAAAGAACTAACATCGTTATAAAATAAATTCATTCATCGTTCTCTCAGAATCTTAAATGAAAAACGAAAAACGCAAAAGTAACATAGGCAATGTTTTAATTTTAAATGACTGTATAAATCGAATATCGTTTTAAATCAGACTAACGAAAAAGACATTTTTAAAACGTTTTATAACAAAATAACGTTAAACGATTTTTTTATATCAAATTGAAGATAATTAATCTCATTAACATAAATTCGGTAAAGTCTAAATACATATCGGACGATTGTTAAAAGAGCAATAGCAAAATGAAGCATGCCGCTTAGAAAAACGGATATAAACGAATCGTACCGCAGCTGTTGGAAGTTGAGAAAAATGCATGCGAAAATTCGAAAACTCGAACGTAGCGGAGCCCCATTATAGAAATCTAAAAATTCGACATCGAAATATTGTCAGACAAGCCTAATCTGTTCGCTCGGGTCGGAACTAATTTCAGATCTCTGTGTATTATGCCATATATAAATATATATATATATATAGATCCTATTAAAAACCGGAACGTGTATCGTGTTTTAAAATGTTCACGAAAAACTTTCGGGAATCTAGAAAGACATCTCAACTAATCACTGAGTAATACCCCCGCGACGGAAAATCCGCGTTTCTTAAGGTGTTAGTGTATGTGTATGCGGTGCGAAAGTTTTTGAGAGTTAACTATATAATGATTATTATTTGTATACTAACCGGAAAAGTATTTTTCGATGGAAAAAAAAAACCGTCTTGGTAAAACTAATAGCTTTTTCGCTACCCTCTGAATTCGAAAAAGAAAAATTAACATCTTGTCCCTTCGAATTCCGTATAAGCCCCAGGGTCCGGCCTTTGAACCCTCTTATACGGTTACGCCGCCACGGTGTAATGTATACAATATTATTATACAACGCTGCAGGTATATTATTATAGTCTGTATAGAAGGGAGAATATACGGATTTATCGTCGTGAAATAATTATATTCGTGTCCACGATATCCTTTCTGGTCAAATTGGTTCTCGGGTTTCACCTGCTGCAGTTGTCTTGTGGTTCTCGCGGCTTTCTTTTGAAGTTATACCCTAATCTTGTGTCCAACACCCGGCAACCGAGACAGCTCTTCCGCGCCCGCAACGAAATTGAATACGAACCGCGGTAATTATTATTTCAATATAATATAACGCGTAGTGGTCCCCGAATAAAATTCATTTTTACCTACTGTAACGAAATCGCAGGGGTGCATATAACTTCTCTCGATGTTGTAGGAAAAAGAACCGAGTGAAAAAAGCAATATTGCCCTTCGTAAAAAAAAAAAAGAATATATATTTACGTTCGATTTTTTTCACTCTCTCTGTCGCTATAAACTCGATGAAGATATTAAATTATATTGAGGTGTAAAAAATAAAAAAATAAAAAACTGCCCCAGTGAAGGAAAACTCGACTGCTAAAAATGTTCGCTTCTTATATTATTACATCATTGGAAAACTGAAATGACACCCTTGAGTTTTATTTCGACTACTCCGTGTAATATAATATTACGGCCGTTGGTTTTTTCCTCTAAATATTGTCATTTCGGAGAAACTATTAAATATTTTAATGCTTATACGTTATGTTATTGTATTATAATATTATACTATACGTATACTTGTAAAAAAATAATTTGAACTTTCCTCTAAAAGTAAAAATATAAGAAGAACGTAAAACGGGAACACTTTAATATTTAAGTCTTATACTATAGTCACGCCAATTTAAAAACTGGATATAATATAATAGCTCCTATAACATCACACGATACCAATGTTGAATATCAATTAGCTAGGTACCTTATCATTAATAAATAATTAAAATCATCAAAAGAAACTTTTATATTAGTTTTTCAATGCAATAGACTAAACATGTTTACCGAATTAAACTTTTAGGCACGACCCGTTTCGCCCGACGTTACTTCGGCCACCACACATCATTGACTGCTCAATTAATTGCTTATCCAAAACCAACAGTAATACATTTTCGTATAAAAACCAAGCTAATTTTTTTTGCATTTATTTTTCGTTGCGTTAAACGCATACATATTAAACATGTATGTTTCATATTTTTTGCCTGAGAGTAAAGTAAATACGAATTGTATATAATGACCATTTTTAAAACCGCGCAAACAAAATATTTGTTCAAAGAACCTAACACGAAATTGGAACGTGCCGGCCATATAAATTGAATCCGTGACATTGCATACAAATTTCATGTTTGTTTTACAAGAGAAAATGCCGTGTCGATTTTTTTTATTAAATAATAATTCGTGAAAACCATTTGCGACTCAATTTTAAAATCACTGCAATCTAATGTTTTTGGGTGAAGCGGGAATAGTCGAGTTTTACCGAAACGGGTACCGCTCGATATTTGTTTCGCTGTATAGATAATGTTCATAAAATCATTTTAATAACACGTGACCTAACCTAACCTATTATGAATTCTCGAAATTATTCGGGGTGTTTATCGACAACGGGTACGCGATAATGGTATACGTCAGAATATAAAGTGTTAGACATATGTCGAGTCGAAATACTCGAATTGGGGTACATACGTTATATGTTAAGCATGTACTTAAAATAAACAACGAATAAGCAAGTTCGAGTTTGTAAATGTTATCGATTCAAATAGATATATAAACGTGTCGAGTGTACACTATATATAGTTTCCCTCGTTAATATACGATTATTCATTTAATTGCACACGTAAGAAAAATAAACGAATTACTATTTATCCCCATTTCGCCGCGGGAGGCGAATGATATTGCGGTACTGTAAACTAATTTTAGCATATGACTTTATGGGACTGAAATGAATGTACATGTATAAGACGTGTTCACAAATTAATAATTAATTCCTATAAATATAGGCGCAACTAGACCACCAATTTCGGGAGTGTTAAAATTATAGACACGTCATCAGACCCGCGGGGGGCAATGCCTCAACAATCCCATTTACACAATAACTACAAATAATAATCAACTACACATTTTCATTTACAATTTTTCATATAAAAACGTGTCATAATCATTCTTTATTTATTTCGTCTTTATTTTTTATACGTGCATTGTCTGTAGGTAATCCGATTGATTATGAATTATATGGATAAAATATTTAGTCGGTACTTTAAAAAAAAAGCTTAATGGTTATTTTCGTAGATGCTAAAAACCACCTAGAACGCCTGCCTAGTGGCGCATCATGTGCCTATAAAGTACACGGATCAAATTTCATATCAGAATCTCGATTTTTGAATGAATACCAACTTCCTATACCGGAGCTGTTCCGTTCCGCCCTACGTCCCCCCTTCCTTTTTTTCCTGTTCGTATCGTGTAATTTGTATCCAGAAAAAGCAATTCTCTACCGGTAATACGCGCGTTGTTTCGGAAGTACCTACTATTAATGCCAATACATGAAATAATCGTTGCAATACTCTTTAACGATCGTTATGTTTATTTTATGATACCAGCGTTACTTTAACGGTTATTATCGATACTCTCCTTCTCGTAACCACAAGACATTGAAAAATTCGTGTTCGTATTCTCTTCCATTAACGGGACCTGTTTTCCCCTCCCCCCAAAAAACATGCTTTACGGGGTTAAATCCCTCGCCTCATAGAGTGGGCTGATTTCGATATTTTTTTTTTTTTTTGTTAACATTTTACAGAGCACTTAATATCAGACTTGGATTTTGAAAATTATACTTCCAAATATAATTCATATTGCGATTTTTAGTTGCATAATCAAAACCAAAGTTCTCACAATGTGCCCTATAAGAAGTTGTCTTCTTTCCAGAGAAGAAATAAAACAACTCGAAATTGGACCAATGAAGTAGAAGAGTTCTGTAAACCACGTTTTGTGAAAAAAATAAATCGGCATGGGTCCCTTAATACGAAAATTAAAACTGATTGAATTTTTTGTCTAAAATTATTAAGACTTTTGAATTTTAAATGTTGACAAATTGTAAGAAACCCATAAACAGGACCGTTTAACAATTATGAGTCCATAATATAGGGAATGGTAAGCTCCTAAATTAAGTAATCTCTCACATGGGTATAGTTTATAAACTCCTACACGAGATAGTATACCAGATACAATAATATCCAATCATCAATTTAAAATAGCGGCGCCATTTCAATTTTAGATTCTGAGAGGAGAAAAGTTTTCCCGAAAAATGAGAAAAACAGAAAAATGTACGAAATATGGATATTAGTAAAAAAATATTTTGGTCTTTTTAATGCCATGAATGATTTCACTATTTTTGCTCCGATTTATAATGATAGCACTTTTTCTAAAAGGAAACACGGTAAAATAGATGCAATGTTGAACAAATATTAATAAAGAAAATATATAATACATATAATGCAATATTAATATGACATACATATGTATGTATTGTTGACAAAGTAACACTATCAACGGAACTGCGCTCAGAATCGTTTTTTCGTTAGCAATGGTTTATCTCGTCGTTTATAGATATACATTGAATTAACTATAACCCTGCATCCGTCCTCATTATCCTAGGACAGCTTTTCTTTTTTTTTTTTTATACGCATGTGATCATACAGGTCACGAACTCCGTCTGGAATTTTCGACACAACAAAAATAAAATCACACGTTTTTCCACACATCTATAAAACCAAGCACTAAAACATTAATCTCTCACATTATCTCTAATAAATAATACGTTTTCATTCACGAATCATCACGATTATAAAGAACTTAATAACCACGAACAATACGCGCCTGATATCCTGATCATGGTTTCGGTTTTAATACAAAAGAAGAACAAAATATCAATTTAAAAATAAAATATGTAGACCGATAATGCGCAAACCACTGTCCATTATTCAGGCCGCACCAGACGCATAGACAGGGATTTCTAAAGGAGTTATGAAAAGATGCGAAATATTTTTTTTCATCGTAACTATTTATTAATTAAACATGTTTACAGCGAAATACAAGCGTTAGCCAAAGTGGAACATTTCACATAATTTTTACTTGAAAATTAAAACGTCGAAAACAATAGCGCCAACAATGCCCAGATCATAATGTGCTTATATTTAAGTTTGATAATCGGTCAATTAATTTTAATAACAAAACTAACAGAACGGTGTATGTTGTCCCCGCCGAACGCGAATTCGCTACGCCGTACGTTTGCAAGGCGGAGACGACACGTACGAGTTACACGCACTCTTTAGGAAAAACATTGAGATAGACAACAATATACGTATTTTTCTTGACGGGGAAAATTGTAATCGTCAATCGTATCAATAGCGGCGGCTAACAAATAACTATAAGCCCCTGTCATGTCTAGTTCGTGACGTCAATAACCAATAGTTATTTCCCATTTCCTTTCCAATTTTACCGAAAACTCATTTTGTTGTAACCTACCAGTAACGCGGTGACTGGATCGTGGTCGTACATTAAACGTATTCCCTAAAAATTGCGGCCACTCAATTATTCGTCAGCAATTTTGCATGGTAAATGCGGAATAATATTGTTTTTTTTTAGATTCGGAGTGTAGCGAAGGATGTATTGGTCTTGCAATAATGTTTAAGATATTTTCTTCCCGAAATCTTACTCCGATTTTCAATTATAGCATCTTTTCTGAAAGGAAATTTGATCTATTTGATCTAATTGGTGCGTTAAACAGGTCAATTTTTTGATTTTCCAAGCTGTTTTCAAAATAATTGGGAAAAACTTAAAGGACATTTTTAAGTAAAACGGCAAATATTTACGGCACGTCGCAGCGTTACCGTTTTCATTGGTTTTAATTTTTGTTCGCAATATACGAGTATTCTACCAGGAATATTGAGCCGATTGGAAAATGACAAGACACCATTTTTGCTACATTTTCAATCTTGTTCGTGAGTAAGTAATTTAGAAGTGGCGTAATTTTGGTATAATGTCAGAAATCGCAAAAATCACTCGGGATGTACAGATCTGTGTACACCCCCATAACATTATGAAAAAAAAAAAACGATGTTTTAATACAATATGGTATTATTTTATATTATTAATTTAAAGTAGGTACATTATGAATGCACAGAATTTTTTTTATATAATTAAATATTATAAAAAACAAATAAATTAAATTACATAACCTTTTACTATTAAAATACAAAATTCAGAATCTTAAAACTGTAACTCATTGTTTTCTATTTCGTGGTATTTACTGAAATGACATGAATTTTTTCGTTATTTAAATTTTTGTTGAAAGTATTTTTTTTTACTTTTTAATTCTCAGTGGCTAAAACACTTCATAATTTATATCCAAAAAATTATGATAATAGTAAATTAAATTTTATAAGTAAAAATACGTCCTAGCATAATGAGGACGGGTGACAGCCACTCGTATAAGTAATTCGATGCATATCTGAGAGAAACGATAAACCATTTCTAACGAAAATAAAATTTTGAGCGATGTTCAATTAATAATGATGCTTTGTCCACAATATAAAAGTCATATTATGGTAAAATGATTAAATAGGCTTTATGTATTTTCTTTAATAATATTTGTTTAATGTTCAGATTTTTCCTTGTTTCCTAGGTTTTTTCCCGGTTTTATCACATTTTTTGTGGAAAGTTCTAGAGAAAATCGAAAATGTCATCTTTAATATACCTTCCCAATCCAATTTCCTTTTGGAAAAGTTGCTACACTTAGAAATCGGAGCACGATTACTAATAGAAAAGTTGCGCAAAAATAAATAAACATCTTTATAAAATCATTTGTTCACTCCACTCAGAATCTAAAATACAATAACTGAAATGTTTAAATCAAAAAGATATAATTTTTTTTATTTAATTTTTGATACTGCTTTGAAAATTACATATTCATTGATGAAGTATTGACTATATTTTATAATTCCAATTTTATCATTTTGTGAACGTTACCTATCTATTACAATTTTTTTTTTTACCCATAAATAGAAATTTCATTACTTTTGCAGCCCCAATATTATATTTTTAAAACATTTGTGTAATTTTTGAGCTATTTATAAATATTTTAATTTTGTGAGTTTTACGTAAATTTTATTCGGTAAGTACTCACTCTGTGCATACAATTATTAGATTTAAAAAAAAAGGAACACAATTCAACAGGTTCATTATAAGTTGTAATTTGTGATTAAAAAAAAAAAAAAAATGAGTTTAATGTAGATTTTTTTTTTATAATTAATTTTTTCTAGGTATCAAATTTTGACGAATATCGTAAATATACGGTTTTTCAAAACATGTACAACAGAAGTTTGCTCTGAATCGTTTTTCATTGGCAATGATTTATCGTTGCGTATAGATATAAATTAAATTCCCCTCTATATCCTACCATCCCAACGTCTGGCCTACAACAGTGGCCCGCTCGTTATTCTAAGTATATCCGTTATTTGTTTATTACTATATTAAATTTATATTAGATATTTTATTTACAACAATTTATAAACGTGGGTGGAGATTTGATTGAATTTTAGTAGAGGGGGTGTATTATACCTGATGTATAGTGTATAGTGTATATACACATTCGTTGTCACACGTAAAAACGTAATCAAAAGGTCATTCTCGGGGTAAGTAGAATAATTATTTATTTATTTTTTAATTATTCAAAGAAAGGCCATGGGTGTTCTGGGGGAAACGCTAAAGCCCCCTTCCATAGCCTTCCAAACTCCGCCAACGTTTTCCGTTCCGTTCATATCGCAAAGATAACATTATACTAACGACTGTCTAGACTTTTATTCATTGTGTATGTTTGGTTCAAAACGTAATCATTTATTATTAGTGATCGGGGCTTATTGCACTTAAAATCCGCAAAAAGGAGCTTAAAAACGTTAAAAAAAAAAAACTCTGGAAAAAAGCATTGGAAAAATATTTAAAAAAAGCAAAAACGGTAGAATGGTTTAAGTGTTCTAATGGATCTTGTTTATTGAATACAATTTCCTAACACTGCACAAATTGTTAATTCAGAGTTATTTTTTTTAATACAATACGAGCGTACAAATTCGAAGGGAACCGTGTCCACACACTCACATTGCGGACATTATCAGTATTAATAGTAGTGATGTTCGCACATAATATATGAGATGCACGTATATTATATTTTAAAACATATAATTATCGAATAACTCGGAAAATGGCGCGACCGCAACTGTTACAATATCGTCTGTTTGTTTCGAAAAATCGCCAACGACCTTTTAAAACATGTGCCTATATAACCGAACTCCGCTCAGAATCGTTTTTCGTTAGCAAACATTAGTCGTTGCGTACATACGCGCGTTGAATTTCCATTCTACCTACCTAACTTCTCACCTACAACGGTGGCCCATCTATCGTGCGAAGTATGTCTGCTTTTGAACATAATTCCGCGATTAATAATTTATGAAAAAACCCCTATTTTATAACACTACTGCTGGCTAAATTTGTTCCGGTTGATAGAGAAATGTGCATATAGATTGAGAAATTTACTTTAAAGTGTGTTTTTCTATTTGAACGCTTGACGTAATACCGAGGCTTGTATTAATATTTATATAACGTTATTTCACGTTTATTTAGGAAATGTTCTGGGTATTTTTTTTCTACCAAACCTAATCTAACCTGTCCGGTTTTTTTTTTTTCGACTGGCTGTCTCGGATATTCGGGCAAAAAAACGGTTTTGCGCGTACAGCTGAATTATTTACGCGCGGTCCGACAATAAGCCCGGTCGCCAGACATCCTGCGCGTCGCGTGTGCCGTCTCAATCGCGGACAATATATCGAACTCTACGCAGATTACGTAGAACTCCCTCAATTTCGATTTTAAATTAAAAACACATATTGTGAAATTAAAAAAAGGACAACATTCAGAAGGGCGAGAAGGCGCGTTTATTTCAAAATTGATTTATCGGAATGTCACGGTCGTTCGAAAACGGCGAGTTAGATTTTATTTCTAAACGGCGTGTTGAACGTTGTATACGGAATAATAGGAAAAAACGCATCGTCTCAGCCTCCAGAATATTGTCCGGTTAAAATTTTACAACGGTTGATTTTAGATTCTGAGCTGAGCGAGGAATGTAACGAATTTAAACGAGTCTCACGCGATTCGCGTCAGGCACGGATTCTGCAACATACATACATTATTCCGCCACAACCCCCCCCCCCTTTCGGATTTCGGGTGTTTAAATACCAACACGAATTCGTTTGATAGTATTCAGAATTTGTTTGGACTCCCTGTGGCCGCTATGACCGAAAGCGTAACGTACAGCAACTCCGCAGCTGTATCGCCCGTAAGTCGGACCGAGACAGCGCGTCACGCGTTCTCTTAACGATTATAATAACAAAATACCGTTATTATTTATAAACGAAACGCGCCGCCACGCGATATTTCGATAATATTGCGTAGTTATACGTGTGTACGCGGTGTGGCGGCACCGTATCGTATACAGGTATTTTTTTTATTTTTTTATTTTTTTTATAAGTAACCGCGGTCAGCGGACGCCGACGGCCAGTGGCGACAGTGGCGAGCGAGTCTCAAATAGACGCGTAATAGACGTGGGCGCCGGGGCGCGGCCCCCGTCCCGTGCCCGCCGGGCGAACAGGCCGGCGGCGGCCGAGAAGACGTACGTCGCGCGTCACACAATAATAATATCGTCCACATTGGCACACGCCACGAAAGCCGCCGCGGCCGCCGTTGCCGGGCAAAACGCGCGAGTGCCAACAAAACGCGCGTACGGACGGGCCCGCGGCAATACGCGGTTCCGTGTCAGTCCGCGAAAAATCGCTGTCCGGTCCGTACGCCGACGCCACACGTACGCGCGCGCGCCGCCGCCGTATCAATACATTTACTGCCGCGCGTTATTTCGCATTGTACAACTGCTACGCTGTCACCGTGTTGTTCTCCGGGAGCTCGCGCGGCGCCGACCTCGGTCGACCCGCAACGGGCAATAAGTACGCAATAATTATCGAAAACCGCGTCCGGCGGCGAAGAGCGATCATCGCGAGCACGCCGAGCACGGCGGCGGCGGCGTTGTCGTCGTCGTCGTCGCCGGTGACGAGTACGGTGGCCGCGGCCGCGTCGGCCACGGTCACGGCTACGGCGGCGATCGCGACGTTAACGGCAATCGCGACATGGACGCCGCCGCCGCCGCTGTCGGCCGAGACGGCCCTCGGTCACGTGTCCGCGTGCGCGGGCCAGCTGATCGCGTTCGCGGCCGTCGTGTACTTGCTGTCCGCGTGCTGCGGCGTCCACGTGGTCCGGTCGCCGCCGCCGTCGCGCTACTACCGCGAGCTGCTGGCCAGACGCCGCCGCGTCCAGCACTACCGTCCGGGCGCCCCACTGTCCGAGCCCGGCGGTACCGTCCGAGAACTGGAAGCCGCGGCCGCCGCCGCCGATTGCTACGCGGACTTTCGCGGCGATAACCCGTGGTCGTGGGGTCGCTCGAAAAAGCGACGGCGCCGGAAGATCAAGTCAGCTGCGCCAATGCTACAGCGGTAAGCCCGCGCGCGATAGGGTCGATCCGGTCGATAGAAACGATGTTTACAACGCGAACGGTTTTTTTTTTTTTTCCCAGTAGACGATTTCTTTATAGAATGGGGTCGTGTCTTCGATATCCAACTCTTTTACAGTAACAATAAATCCCGCCTTGCGTACAATGGCCATCGTGCGCGTCCGGCCGACATTCTGTACGAACATCTCTCGCTCTGTGGTTTCTACCAATACAATACGTTCTGGTTCTCAATTCGAGAACAATAGAGTCGTTCTCCCTAATGCCCTAAAAATTGTTGTTAGTGAAAGCATAGTACCACTAGATAGTTATCGCCCACCGTTAAATACCTAGTATACCGAGTGTACCTCATACAGGGCGATTTTTCGTCATCGTGACTAGCGATTTTCTCGGAGGATTTTTAAGACCGGAGGAGTGAGAAAGGGTAACGAATTGCGCATGATTACACTCCACCCTCCCATTACTCCAGTCTAAACTCTAAACGGTTTTCACTCGTAAACGGTAAATCTGATATTATTGTGTACACACATTCTAAAATTGCGAGTAAAATATTCTCTATTCAAATCTGTTCGGACGAGGTTTTAACGTACGTGTTATATTCAGTAGACTGGAGCAGCCGGTTCGATGGTAAATTTATAGATTTAACAACAATATAATTTTACAGGACCAGTTTCGACGTTGTGCGCCGAAATTTTACCAGCCCGATCGCAAATTCCCTATACGTTTTGACTCTGAACTACGAAACTCGGTCTCCAGAAAACGTATTGCCCATAATGCTCATAAATTATTGTCTAACGGCTCGTCTGATTACAATGATTTTTTTCAAATTTACGAGCTCCGTGCAAACAAATGACACGTGTCGTGTTACTCGAATCCAAAATCGCTTAAAGTCTAACACCAGTTACTTTTGGAAATATGTGAAAACTTTAAAAAAATATTATTAATTGCCTGCTCGCGTGCATCACAATAAATAATTCCTCCGTGAATGAACCTACTGTTGTAGCAACTATGTTTAGTCGATATTTTCTATCAGTCCGTTCCGACGCTCACGATATCAATGAACACACCTTTACAGGTAACGATGGTATAACCTGTATAGGCACTTGTGATTTCTCTCTATCGAGTGTATTTAACGGTGTTCAATCTTTAGGTAGTGACACATTACCGAGCTCCGCTATGATATTGGCTTTATTTCTAAGCCGCGGTTGTTACGGAATAACAATTCCAAATTACACGTTAATCTGCTGTTATCTTTAAAGACGGGAGTATATTCACTTCAGCTTGGAAATCGCCGTTGATAAATCATGTATGGAAAAGTGGTGACAGATCCAATACATCAAATTATCGGCCGATCCTTAAACTCAGTTGTATTCCAAAATTATTCGAAAAGCTGATAGAACGTGAACTTTCTGAGTTTTCGAAAACATTTTTTCATCGATAACCAGCGTGGTTTTCGACAGTGAAAATCAATCGATACTAATTTGTTACTATTTTGCACACGTCTAATTGACAATGTTTCTAACCGCAGCAGGTAACAAGTAACGAATAGATACCGTGTATATAAAGAAGGCTCTGTAGACCACAATACTTTAATAAAAACAATTGAACAACTATGGCCTACGCGGGAAACTTCTTCAATGGTTGTCGTCATTAATTACCTCTGATAGAACACAGACAGCCAAAATTAAACACACGAGTATGTGAGTATGACTTTACTCTTTACGCATTAATGTATCTTCTGGTGTACCCCAAGATGGATATTTATCAGCATTTTTATATCTCGTGTTTATGAATCACATAAGCTCGATGTTTTCTCGTTATAATTATTCACACTAAATGACTTAGATAATTTATTTAAGCGGTGTAAAATTAATTATATGTCACTTAACGCTCAGAAATGCGTATAAATTTCATTTTCCCGTAACCAAAATCCGATTCGTTTCAGTTACAAAATTATGATAGCCTGTTACAAATTGTAAATGAAATTAAATATTTAGGTATAATACTATCATCCGAACTATTATTTAGTGGCGTCATTTGGAGGGAGTAGTGTCGGGTATGAGCTGGTATGGGGCTATAGTTTTAGGTCGTGAACTTATTTCATGTCATTATGTTTTATGATTTATTTTGCATACTACCACTCTGAGCTACAGTCTTTTTTTTTTTTTGTTTATTTATAAACAAACCGATTATTAAGTTTTTTTTTTTTTATAATAATTGTAAACAATATTTTTTTATTATACTTTTTGTTAACACTGATTGCACTTTAGCTCAAATTACTGAGCGTCCATAAGAGCCAATGTAGTTTTTTGGAGAGAAACCATTCTGTGATTATACTAATGTTCATGGCAAACACTGTTTAAGAAAACTTCTATGTAGATAGATGCTATGTTGATGGTGTTTAACTCAACTGTACTTTATTATTCACTCGTTCGCTCTGTGCTTGAATATGGTTCTATTTTACGGAATCCGAATTCCGCTAAACATACATAGAGAGACTAGAATGAATACAAAGAAGATTCGTGCGCTTTATCGGATATAAAAGAAGAATAACTAATACTCTTGAGACCATTAATAGTCTCCAGGTAAATCTAAAACTAGATTCCCTATCAACTCGTCGTAAAATAGCCAATATGTCCTTATTCAAGTTATAAATTGGAATTGTGACCTGTCCCCCACTGTTAAAACATATTTCCTTCCATGTGTTTCAATATTACTCCCGTTCATGTCTGAAATTTCATGTTGAAATCCACCGCACTAATTATGGTCAGTTCAGTCCTCTAAATCGGCTCTTGACCAAAAGTAACCTATCTAATTTTGATTACTTTTACAATAGTCTATCAGACGCCTTTACTCTAATTTACGATTGCTGTTATGACTTTGTATTGTTAAAATACGTAAACCACCTATATTCTACTACTTTTTACTATCTCACTCATAAATGTTATTATTAGAGGTTGGATTTTTATGATTTTACATAATTGTTTCTAGTGTATGCAGTTAAATGGAAATAAGATATCTTCACGAATCATGAAACATAGAATTTAGAGGAAAAAAATTATTTTGCGTAAAAAATCATATTTTAGGGTTTATAGAATATTCAATACGTTAAGGAATATTTGAGATTTTGAGAATATTTTATAAATATTTTTAGTTTTGGTCTATTATTTGTATGGACGTATAACGGCGTTTTGATAACATTGATCAACAAATTCAATTTATTTTACAATCGAATTATGTTTTAATCCTTCTGGGTTTCTAACAAAAATTAATCACTGGATATTTCTTATCGATGGCGAAAGCACGTCAGAAATAATAAAATAACGTTAGCTGTTACGAGCTGTTAAAATTACAAAATAAAATAAATTAAAAATTTTATAAATCACATTAATAATACAATTAAGCTGAAAACTCAAATAAATTTTTTTTTTCAGAATATTAAAAGAATATTTTGCCATTTTATATAAAACATCATATATCTGGTATTTTAAAAGAATATCAAGAGAATATATTTCCTATTTTAAATGACATAAAAACATCATATTTTAAAAATTTTAAGAGCACATAAGTCTGACCTCTAGTTATCATTATTATCCCATATTATTTATTTCTGTATATATTTCTGTACTTGAGCCTACCACGCGTTAATTCAAATAAAAAAAAATTTAAATAAAAAAAATGAACAGGATAATGTAGGAGCTTATTAAAGTCTCACAAGGCACAAGATTAGAAGAAATTGAGGATAGAATTAGATGGAGATTAGCGGTTGAGGCAGTAAAGGTCCTCCATAGACTGTAAAAACTGGGTAACAAATAGATGTTAAAGAATTGATTTTTAATAAAACTATTTCGAATTTTTAAAACTAAACTACATTCATTTTAGTATCTATAAGCCATAGATACTTTTCAAAAGTTTTCTTTCGAACTTCAACAGTTTTCCTTCGTCACCTTTTGTCACGCTCTAGATTCGACTATTGTCTGTAAGATTCTCCGCCCGTATTTATTCACAGAACTGTAAATGTCAAAAGAATAACTTTTTAATGATTAACCATCGTAATCTGTATACAAGAAATATTCATAAAAATCTTACTACTAAAAGAAAAAGAAAGAAATGGTAATCGATCGTGACCTGTATAAGCATAGTATTATTTTAAACCCTTACAAAAACATAAATATACGTACTTAAATACATTTTTAAACCGCTTACTTTTTCATAAATATATTTTCAATACGCTTTTTATATAAATGAACATTTTTTTTTTTTTTTTAATATACCGTTAAAATCCATCAAGAATCAAGCCATCTTTTGAAACCAATTTCTTTCACTCGTCTCTATTGTACGCATAATCCATGCCGCTATTCCAGCCGGGTCTCAAAATCGTCATGTCTTATTGCGAACCTCGTCCATCTGCTGTCGCTTCGATCTACCGCGAGATATTTTTCTATTTATGCTGTTTACGAGTGTCATTATTCTAAATAGCTCTTAGCTATTATAGCTATAGTAAGTACCAGGAGTACCTATTATTGACTATATTTTCGGCTTTCTGGACGTAGACCCTTCTCTAATACGTATTTCTTGCCCATACAGTTAGAAACGGACCCGTACACTTTCCCTAATACTATTTTCCCAAAGTTACCCTTATAATTTATTTTCATTTCCTGCTGTAGTTGCCCAAACGGCACAATATCGATCTGAAATACGCGGTAGGTTCTTTTTGGTTTTTTTTTTAAACGATTACGTCAATATAAAGCGATGTGACGTAGTAAATTAACATCCGTTACCAGTTTTCGGACGGAATTTGATTGCGTTGTATGCATATACAGTTACCGTAATCAATGTTGACCCCGATCACTGTCACATAAGTTAATGCATAAACATATGTAAGTGAAATAAAGAGAACTCCTAAACCATTTTGAAAAATATTATGCAACATACTCAGAATCGATAGAATCTAAAACCGCATAATTCAATAGGTACATAGAAATTAAAACTTGAATATCTGACTTTGAAATGTTTTCGGACCTAAAACTTTTGGGAAAATAACCATTTCAATTAAAGTAATAAACGATGCAGAAAATCCAAATATAAATAAATATATGGATTTTCACCTTAAGAAAGGTGTACGCGCGGTGTGAAAGTTTTGAAATATTTCAACTAGAGATCTCGACTGAATCAATACGTATGTGAACACCAAGTCTGTGTACACTGAATGGAAAATAAGTTACGTCCTATACCTAACGAACGTGAATTTACTATTCGCATTCACGTATTTTAGTGTATTTGAGGATGTTTATTTAAGCGATAACGCATTATATTAAATATATTAAATTTATTGTGGATATCTAATAAATTCAATTTGTTTTATCGTTGAATTCAATTTTTTGACAATATTATAAGCTTAAAGTAGACATAAATAGAACAAAAAAAAAAAAACACTAAAATACGAGTACACGTGCAATCTAGGGAGCTATAATTTCGACTAACCGAAAATAATCTTCCGGGGAAGCAACACGCCCGTTTTCGCAAAAATAATGGCTCGCGCAAAATCTATACATCAACCTAACTGCGTATATTTTACCGCGAGATTGGGAAAACTGCATACTTGACTTCCTACATTCAAAACGTGCGTTTTGTCGAGTTTCGGTATCGCATCACTGCAGCGATCAATTTCTATAGTCCAGAGAAAAACGATACGTTTTCAATACGTGCAGCGACCTACTCGTATATGATTCAGGTAAACAAAAATTTGTATGCATGATTAATGGGTTTGGACATAGGTAATTCGACCGTTATCGTTGATTTTATAACATGTATAATATAGCGATTCGATACATACACTTATTTTCGGAAATTGTAGGCTATACGCGGTCGATTGTTCGGAAATATGTAATAAGTGGTTACTATATTATTAATAACGGCGCGGGTACGTACGTAACCTAAAAATACGATAGCAGAATATTGACGTGGCGTGTAACGACGTCGCGTTTTCCGATCCTTCAAAAAATGATAGGCATCGTAATCGTTATTGCGTTTCAGCGCGGAGCGGGATATTAACATTGGTTTTACCATGATGTACGCTATTTTTTTACTTTCTGTATGTAAACGTTGTTTTCAAAAAAAAAAAATCTTGCCCCGATGTATTAAGCATAGTACTTGTGCTGAAAGGAAATTTTAACCTAACCCGAAAGAAAACGGCAAATATTTACGGCGCCCCGCGGCGATACCTACCGTTTTCATTGTTTTTAATTTGTTTACAACCGGATGTTTTCTACCGGGAATATTGCGCCGATAAAAAAAAATGATAGGAAATTTTGATTTCGGTTGAATATTGGATATAGTTGGTAAGTGAGTAAAAACGTCGTGTTTGATTATGTTTCGTGTAGTTTCTCGGTAATTCTGCAAAACCGGAAAAAAAAAAAATGTAGAAAGAACGGAAACGGGAAATAATGGTTCCGTTAATATCAATTTTGTTTTTTTATTATAATTCAGTTAAAAATATTCGTAACGACTCGATATTTTGACAGAAAACTTATGTTTGCTAGACATTTTTAAGCCATTTATAGGAATTTTATGTTTGCGAGTTTTTTGCGTAGTTTTTATTCGGTAGATGCTATATGGATATAATTGTTTAACCAGAAATGCTTGACAATTAAACGGCAAGTTTATAATAATTTTAACTTAAAGGTCAACAAATAGACTGTGATGTAGTCTTTTTTTTTTTTTTTGTAATGGTTCTAAGATAAAATTTCGACGAAAACCGTAAATATTACGGTCTTTGAAATCATATACAAACAAACTTCGATCAAAATCGTTTTTCATTCGTAGTGGTTTATCGATGCTTAAAAATATACCGAACTGCAGTCGATACCAAATATTTGTATTATAATGATTTAATTTTTATCGTGGAATCAATTTTTGGAGGATTGGAAACAAGGTCGTATATATAATGAGTAGATTAGAGAATGATAATATTAGAGCAGCTCTACTATGGAAGCCTCGGGATAAAAGACCTAGTGTTAGACATTATCGAAGAGGATTCAAGGAATAGATGTGGCCCAAGATAGGATGATTCAGATAATGTGATATTGTTTTGTGGGCGAAAACTATTTTAAATGCAAGAAGAAGTGAAGACAACGGTAATTGTCCATCTCAGGGTTTATAATTTTAATTTTTTTATTTTCTGATTAGCATAGAAAAAGCAGAATGTAACAAACTAATATTACTATAGTCATCGCACTATCGTCTGCTACCCAGCAAAACCCCGTGAGTCGATTTTAATAAATTTCGTGGCAAGAAAACTGTTAGTAATGTAAATATAAATAAAATCAAAAAATTACTTCGTCGGTGCACCAACATAAATAAAAAATAATTCTTAAAGAAAATACCTACAAAGTTTCTGATCTGAACAAGATTTCTAGCATACACAAGTTGTTTACAGACAAAAAAAATATAAACTTTCGAGGTTTCGTTGTAATAAAAACAAATCAAATTATTGCAACCACTGTAGATTTATATTATAACTTTAGGGAACTATAATTGTATTGACTGTACACTGAATAGGCACGTAATATATCTTAAAAGCTTTTAATAAAAAAAAAAAAGACATTTTCAATATTCAATTTTCTCATTTTCGCTAATGGACGGTACCTGTACGAGTGTTATACCTAGGTAGTTTATATTGAATAAATGCCAAAACCAAAATAAAAAACAAAATTGTTATTTATATACATATATAAAATATTTTTTTTTTTGGTATATTCATAACATCATTGGATACTATAAGGGTTATTTTATTTCGAATTCCTCGCAAAAATAATTTATTAGTTTAATGGTAGTTTTTTTATTTATTTTCAATAAAAAGTCCCGTTTCGGAGGTTTCCACTAGTCATAATCATTTCATTCGTTATCGAAACAACGTTTAAAACAAATCCTCCATGGAGTAAATTTCATCACAACTTCTCGTATATCGAACCGTCGAGTTATTAAAAAGGTTTCCGTCGTTTTTGCCGTAATCCGTATGAAATCTAGTGTGTTTCACTAACGTGTAATCGTAATATTATTTCTGTATGGTAAATATGTACCTAATTCAATACGAAAAGTAAACCCCCGTAGGAGACGAACTGATAGACATAATGCAATATTATGTTCAACAATACACAACTTTGTGTGCAATAGACGCGTATTTTGCTTATGACGTTACAGTAGAGATCAATAATATTATCATTGTTATTATGCCAGTAGTTGTTTGTTTAGAAATCGGCCAGACCAATCGCGCACGATACGTTTTATTTCTTCTACTCGTCCGATTGGTTCGCTATAGATCTCCATGTCTGTATTCTATTTTGTAAATCCATTCGCTCGAGTCCTCGTAACCAGTGGCGGTTTTTTAAGCATTTTTTTCTCGAGGGAGAGGGTATTTTGTTATCAACTTACAATTTATTTGACATACAAAAAATATTCGCCTGATATTTATCAATTTTTTTAAAATTAACGTGTATTATTTTTTTACTTATATACATGAATTTGTTAATCAACAACAAAGTTTAAGTTTAATTTAAATATTTTAACACAAAACCTAACTTCGATTTGTTTTACTTACTTCGTCTAAAACTTTGTCAGTCGTTAACTGCAGATCCTTGTATATGCACATCATAGCCATGGGCGTCTTTTGGGAGAGACAAGGAGGGGACATGTCCCCCTGGCATTTCCATATCTGGTATTAATTTATTGATTATAGCTATGATAAATACTATTATAGGAAATAAGAACACAATCATATAATATTATGCTATGTAAACTTAAATATAGCAATTAATAGGTAAACAGAAAGGGGGACACTGTATTTGTTCGAAGATAGACGCCCTGGATCATAGCTAGACCATTTAGTCTTTTCTGAAATTTAATTTGAATAATTGGAAATATGTGAATTGTGAATATCATAGATTTTATAGGTAATTTCAAAGACAGGTCTATTTTAGCAACGGTTCTATAATATTATGAAGCGAAACACAAATATGTGAATTACAATTTACGAATGCGATTGTTGCGATTTTAATATTATACAAAAAATAATAACAACTTCTTACTTTTAACTTTTAAGTAGGTATATTATAATATTTACATAGCACTCGGGCACTGTATTAGTTATTTTCATGGACTACGTAATATATATTTGGTTATCATGATTTAAAGTGGTACTATAATCTAAAATAGTATGATGGAAACGAATTCGCTTCACTAAATGGAATGTTGTTAAGGTACAGTTGTCTGACCATGTCTTCTAAGGTTAGGTTAGCCTAACCGTGGTTTCGGTGAACATCAATAAAGGACAAAGGTCATTCAGTGTGTCCGGTATGAATATATACGTATTGTATATTATAATATGTGTACATATTAAATAAATAATTATAATTTGTATTAATTTTCCAATTATTTTAAATTTTCAATCAAATCTAATTCATAGTCTAAACTCGGAATTAGGAACTCTAGGGGGGTCAGATCCCCTGGATTCCCCTTCATAAAACCACCACTGCTCGTAACTATATTATCCTGTCTATTATAGTTTGTGTCATCTTTTCCATGTCCTTGAACTGCTTCTTTATACACGGACAAAATAATAAATTAGTTCACGCCTTAAATTTTTCGCTTTTTTTTTACGTTTTTATCGGTTTTTCTCAATTGTTATAGAAACTACTCAGAAAAACAGAAAAACGACTTCTTACCCCCCAATTTAATACATTTTTCCTCTTTAAAAGATTAAACTCTTGAAATTTAGAGCAAGATATTGAAAGCAAAATATTGGACGGGCAGGACATGTCTGACACGTAAAATGGAAAAAATATTATGTGAAACTACTTCATGGAAACCAAGTAGGAGCGTACCCTAGGGACGACCAAGAAAACGATGACATGACAGCGTATATTAAAAGAAATGGTGAAGGATAAAATAGGGTGGGATGACGTAATAGTTACAGTAAAGTGCCTTCGTGGCCTAATATTATAGTGAGTCGAAATAAAAAAGAAAATAATAATGGAAATCCATCGAACCATCCAAAGGGACTAGAATTAATCATTTTTTCCTAACCGCCCTAATTAAAAATTCTCTATTATATCACTGTCATTTATTATTTAACCATTACCGTTAACCAGTGGCGTAGCCAGGATTTATCAATAGAGGCGCCAAAAAAATTTCAAAAAAAAAAAAAACACAAAACACAAAACCAAAATTACACGTTGATTTCCTTTATTATTTCAAAAATGACCGTATTTATAAAATAACCTAAACCATAATAAAATAACATGAACATGAAACGATTGTAACAAAAGTATAACGAAAAAACTACGGCCAATGGCGGGGACTATGGCTGCGTCACTGCCATTCCCTATAATATAATATTATAGTAACCCGCCAATATTTCGCGGATACCGCGACGTCAAGCTAAACGAAAATTGACGTCCGAAGGAAAAATATATATATATATCTACGTATGTGTAGAATAGGTTATTCGTGTCAACATCATATTTTTACGCGAATGTGATGTTCAAAATTGAATAGTCGTTTGTTATAAAATATTTATATATTATTAACCCTGGTCCCTGGGTTCGGTGTTCTGGGGAAAATGATATGCAAATATATGCGAACCTAGGGTAGACGTTTCACTGATTATTATGTATTAGCTAGTAATACCTAAGCAGCGGTGTCACCTGACAACCACGTTCGGCAAATTGCTTGGGTCGTGCAAATTCCGCGAACCGTGAGTAACCTGCCTAATTCAAGGTTTACCGAAAATATAGGTGAATATCTTGAGACTGTATAAATATATTTCGGAACGTCGAGTGGGATAATGAAATGTGTGTAGATATTATAATCTGGGTAGTTCTTATTAAATTTAAAATATACGTGTATAAAAGAAAATAATAATAAAAAAAAAAAAAAACAAAACTCCATCAGTGGGTCGAATCTCCTACCCTCTCCCTCCGTCTATTATGCTTAGTGGACAAATATTCTTTGCAAATTAATAAATAACCAAATATTGTAATGTACTACAGTTAAATTATTACTTATACCTATACATTATACAACTTCCAGAGTAATTGGTAAAATTAATTTGATCATAAAAGTGGTAGGGGCGGAGGTTGAAAGTTAAAACTGCCAAAAGACACACCCTTGATATTAATATTGATTAATTGATTGACTTGATACTTGATAGCCATGTATACACACAATTTTATTTCAGACCCTATATTAAGGGATGTATAAAACTAAAAAAAATATCCTCCATTTGCAACAACATAGGAAAATTCATATTTAAATTCAACCCAACTATTATTACTTCAATCTGCCTATAAAACAACTCTAATTTCCGAATTTTAACTGATTTGGTCTAAAGGGAGCAGCTAAACATTTTAAAAAGTGGCGGAAAAAGAATAAAATATAATATACTCGTCTTATATACGCCAGAAAATTAGGCGAATAAACTTTAAAAAAAAAAGGGGAATGGGATGTTCAAATCGATAGTTATTATGTAGTAGTAATTTTTTTAAAAATTATATTTTCACAAACTGAAAAAAAAGACGGATAAATTTCGCACCATGGGTGAATCACTGTTGTGGGTGAAAAATTGGGAAAGTATGAATATCTTCGCTCAGAATCTATACAAATTCAAAATGAATACGTATGGCTTCGTAATTTATAAGACACAGTAGCTTAGCGAGCATATTTTAAACTCTGGAAGCAAGGTTAAAAAAAAAAAAAGATTTAAGCAAATATTAGTGATATTTTAATCAATTTCGCTCTTTTGACGTAGGAAGACGTTGTGATTTATATATTTTTATAAAAGTGTGATATTTTTAAATGTAATCCGTCTGGAAATTATTTTTTTAGTCTTATACATAATACATTTTAGAACCGTCGTCAAAAGTGACGCACGACAGTATATAAACAAAGACTGACTACGTAATATCATGGGATGGCTGTTCAAATATTTAATATTGACAAAATTACGGTTATATTATAGCTGTATAACGATACGCTCAAAAAGATTTTGAAATTTGGTGGGGCTTAAGCCCTAGCTACTCAATAAAGCAATTATAGAAGTAATAAGCACTTAAAAAAAATAGGGGGAAAGGGAGATATTTCCGGAGGGGAGGGGGGCTCTTGTCATTAGCGGGCTGAATTTTAAATAGAACAATTATAAAATGTAAAGAGATTAATATTTTCTCAAACCATTTACAAACAAAAAAAATGTACTGTAAAAAAAAAAATATATATATATATATATATATAATATCATAAACCAAAACTTGCGCCTCATGTAACTTTTTCAATTGACAAAATATTTTAGAATAAAAATCCTATACGAGACGTTCTCGAAAATATTCTTCTCTTCCCAACAAATATTTTATCTGTAATGAATTATAAACTATTTCTGATATTTCAACTTAAACTTCATGATTTAACTGCTAAGCGGTTGCATGTGCAAAGAGAGGGAGATTACAAGTAATTTATTTATTTATACATTTTTTTTTTTTAAAAACGGAACAAACCCATTTATTTTTGTTCTCCCTGACTTGATAAGACGATAACAACTATGAATATATATTTTGTAATTATATCATGAAACTATATATTTTGTATGTCAGCGGAGTTTCATGGAAAAAGTTTGATTTATTGAATAAAAATTGACATTTTAAAATCCGGCTTCTAAATTCTCGTTGTCGGATTAGGATAACACAGAAGAAAATTCCACGACCATTAATAAATCATAATTATTATTTACTATAGATTACTGTTGAACATATCTGGGCGCGCCACTGCGTCTAACGTATAACACACAATCGACGGTTATTAATATTACACCGTACGTTTGTGCGCAAACGATTTTATTTCCTGGTAATTTTTTCGCACTTTGATCAATTGCTTGTTGCAAACTGCGTAAGTACCTACATGCCCACTTGTTTGATGTTTATTATTACGTAAACTGTATACGCACAGGGGTGGTTATTGAATGGTGTTGACTTGCGCGTGTGTATTTTCCTTTAACGTTGTATTTTGAAACACCGTGCCGTCGATGCTCCGCAGTTACACAGTAAAAATAATAATAATAATAATAGGTTTAAATTATTATAGAGTCCTTGAGAATAATATTGATCGAATGTAGAACTCCCCGCGTGCAAAAACGATACACGCGCGATTTTCATTTAGAGATAATATCGAAATATAAAATAATACAACTCACCTATAATTACCTATAACGATAGTAATTTGTTTAGCTGACAAATTAATTTTAAAAAAAAAAAACCCCTTAAGCTGCAGAGTTCTGCGTGTCACGGTGTTTTACCAAAATATCCTAGGTGAAAATGTACTCAAAAAAATGTCTGGAAGTAAAAACTTCTGAAAAATAAAAATAAAATGCTGTCCTAGGATAATTAGGACGGATGCAGCTACTGTTATAGGTGTAAAGTTGGGAAGGTAGGAAACAAAAGGGAATTTAATGTAAATCTGTAAGCAACGATAAACCATTGCTAACGAAAAAACGATTCTGAACGGAGTTCAGTTGATAGTGATACTTTGTCAGCAGTATAAATATCATATTATGGTAAAATAATTAAATAGGCATTACGTATTTTCTTTGATAATATTTGTTTAACATTGATCCGATTTTCCCGGTTTTTCTCATTTGCTCGGAAAACTCTTGAAAAAATCAAAAGATGACTTCTCTAAAATACCACTCCAAGAAAAGTCCCTTTCAGAAAAAGGTCAACATCATATAGATCGGAGCATGATTTCGGGTAGAAATTCTGTACAAAGTATAAGAAAAATAAAAAAATAAATAATCATCTTTGTAAAACCAATACATTATTCGCTACACTCAGAATCTAAAATATATTCATATAAATCATGATAGTAAATTATGTATATTTAAAATGAAAAATTCAAACAATAAATATTATAATATCTGATACAAAAATTTAAAATAAATTGTGCGTAAAAGTCCACACGACCCGCGTACGTTCGTTGTTATATTTGTTATTTGTCTACACACTCTGCAGCGAGTGTACAAGCCGGATGTAAAACTATTGTCTTTTCTTGCTTCTCGCCGTTATATATATGTATATGTATAATAAATAAAATTATATTACATTATAATACAAAATTATAATCTTCTATTTCATTTTATTTATTTCCCGGGCATTTTTCCTCGGTCTTTTATTTCGAACATGTTTATTCGGACATTTTTACCGTTATCCATGTATTAAGTCGAATATTTAGTTTAGCATATTCGCAATTATCTGTGAATTGCATTCACAAAACACCCATTGACCACGTCAACCCCTCTCCCTGAATTAAATCACAGTATGTATTACTCCACTTCTCTATCGTGTATAAAACGTATCATATTCCCTTCTGGTAACGGCGGTTACGATAAGGAATCGAACAAAAAAAGTTTCATCAAAAATGATACCTAACTAAGTTCTCGAAAGTTCTCGAAATATTTACTAATATACAACAGACGGTGGAGTTGGGTTAACAGGGTTAGAAGGGTTGAAACCCCTAAAAGAATACGTCGTTCTAAGCTCATACAGGGGATAAATAGAATTGTAAAAATCTAAACGAACCGTCCACCCGCAAAAATTACACGGTTAAAATCATATAGAAATTTACAACAACTTTTTCCACTTCAATCCGCCTAAAAAAACAACTCTAATTACCGAGTTTGAGCTCGTTCATTACGGAGAGGACCGTTAGAAATGTCCAAATGTAGCGGGGAAAATATAATAGGATACTGTGCAACGGTCTTTGTTTTTGGGGAAAGGTTCGATAAACATTAACGATTCATGTTATGCAGTTACATTACTTATAAAATATAATATATTATAAATTCGTATTTCGTGTTCGAATAAAAAATCTTTGTTCCAAATAGTGAACACTTGAATAGTTTATCGTACTTTAAACACCGTTATTGGCAACCATTATTATAATGTACCTCCGCATATATTTGTATCTCTAAAAAGACGCATTTTACATTATAATAGGTCAATTCTATTGTGCGTGAGAGTGCAGATGACTTGATGATAAAATAAGAATTTCAGTATAAATATAAATTTACCGTTGTTGTTTTAAATGATTCGCTGCAAGGATGTAAAAATGTAAATGTAAAATATATTAATTTATTAGAAATTATTTATACACGCCGTTGTCGAATGAAAAACGCGCTATTTTTTTAAATTTTTTTTTTGCCGGGTGGTCTACTTCTACAAGAACAAAACAAACGTCTATGACGGATTTTGTTAAATATCATATTTTTTTGTGCCGCATACTCGAAATATACGTATAGATATATATGCAAAACGATAAAACGAGTAAAAAAATACTCTTTATCTATAATCAAAGACCCTCGGATAATGATTATAATAAAGGCATTGTCTTTAAACATATTTTTTTTTTTTTTTAATTTTGAAAGTATCCTCGAAATACTGTGGCGTTTCGGTAAATCGAACATAATTCCCGCGTATATTCTTCTTTGCGTCCTTTAGACCTATTGTAAGACACACATTTTGTTTCTCGGTGAACGCAAAAATAAAACAAATTTTCGTAATTTTTGGCGATTGTTTTGTTTTCAATATTAGAAGAGATACGGTAGAGAATTGATATTACTGATTTGCTAATTGGGATTTAACTAAAATTTCCAGAGGGAAGTTTACACAATTAACTCTCCTCCCCCTCTTATCAACGTCTCTGATCGAATCGATGTATCAATCCGGGTTACATAATTTCATTTTCAATTCTAAGTGTAGTTATACTAGAATCATATAGTTTTTCGAATGTGGAGTCGTTTTTTCGCATTTACAGGGTCTTCCAGAATTCATATAACAGTCAATTTTTTTTGTGTGAAATACTTATTCCTTCAATGAATGACTCATATGAAAATTTTTTGGAATTATATGTATTCTAAAATGTTGCATCGTCTTTATTTTTGTCACCCTTGTTTTTCGGATTGAAACGGTTACCTATTTTTGATTTTCAAATAGCAACTTATACTGAAAATGACATAAATAGACGGACTACCAGTTGAAATATATTTTGGTTGTTCGCGTGTTTTATTTCCGTCAACTCGTTGACGAGATATTTAGATATTCCACTTTTAAGCTCGGATGAGGGGAGAGTAGTGACGAAGCATCATTTGTGTAGCGGCACAGCGCACAACATTTGAATAAAATGCTCCGCTACTCTCCCACTATACCTAAACTTAAAAGTGTATTATTATAAAAAGTTGTTGAACAAGTCACAATTTATCGAAAAAATAAATAATTCACGGTAAATTTGACTGTAACATGAAATTCGAAAGACCCTCGAGTACTCGGGTCATTCGTATAAATTTACTCTATTGTGCATCATTCGTATATAGAGACGCGTCCGCTACCGTGCTATCGAGAAAATTATATTATAAGTCTATACAATTTTAATGATCCTATATTATGTTCTATGAATGGAAGTGATCTGCCGGAATATTTGACCGGCAGTGATCCCCTGGGCACGTAGTCGAGATTTTTCTTTTTCGCCGAAAATTTCGAACATCCGCTATACTGAACACAGAAATTATATACGTCGCGATTTCCGTAAATCCGTTTAAAACACCGAACCTATACAATATTGTTATATTATTTTACAATGGCGCGTTCAATATATAGTTTCTTTTTTTTCTCTAGTTTTCGAAAACTCGAAACGGATTACAACAAGTTTTATCTATGAGTACCAAACTATAAAACATGACGTATTAATATGGATCGAAGTAATGAGTAAAGTATTGATATCGTTTATTCGACAGTAAATTCCTTGTTAATTCTCACTCTTCTTCTTCTTCTTCTTCTTCTTCTTCTTCTTCTTATTCTACTTCTCTATTGTTTAACACATCTTCAAGAGACTTAGTTGTCGACGCTACTTCCATCGACGTGTCTCTATATAGGTATTTCTAATAATACGGTCTTCCGAATAAATTATTTTCCATTTTCTCCCGGTGTTCGTTGGTTCCGTTCAACCAACGTCTTCCGAGTCTCCCGCTTGTCGTTTTACCAATTGGTATCCATCCTGTATAATAGCTGCTCTGATTCGTGAATATTACTAGAACGTTTTTTCGATTGGGTTTGCGGCCGTGCGTTGAGTTACGTCAAAGGATCGAATGTCTGCCCTGCTTGTTCAATTTTTCAACAGAAACATTGCTGTATTTCTTTATTGCCAAACTATCAAAGAGTCAGTTTAAGTATGTAATTACTTAACATTGAGTTTCATCGCCCTAAAAAAATAATAATACCCGAACTATTGGCTAAACATTATAATTATACGACTTACAAATAAGTAAGTTACAAATCTCTGTACGATTATTTTTATTTAGGTACCATTATTGGGACGATCCCGTTGTAATATTCGTAAATTTTTAAGAAACCGTCGATATTTCCGACCACACAAAATAAAAAAATTGATGTCGCGAGGTGTGGACGACTATGATTCGCTATTCCGTGCGCACTACGTGCGTTTAATTAAAAGCCATAAAGTGATGTTTTTTTTTTTCTTTTTCATCTACAGAAGAGCGAAATTGATTGTGTTTATATTTTACATGTATACATATATAATATGGTACGCACTTATTGTTGTAGCTTTCGTATGCATTTTTTTTTCACTCTGAACTATCGGCAACAGTATTTTATTATATCTACTGCACCTGGGTGTATTATAAATAAATGTTTTCTGTATACAAAATACGATAGGTAGGCAAGTACCTATTATTTCAAAAAATTTTTTTAAATTAAAAGTAAACAGCCCCGTTTAAACGCGTTTATTTATTTATTTTTTTTTTTTTTCACAAACACCTCTCCGACATCGCGCGTCGTCCCGGTATAATATACGTCAAAACGTCTCTGGGCCGGGAAATATAACAAAACGTTTTCGTCCTTTATAATTATTATCATAAATTTAGACGAGAATTATGCGGACTGATAAACGAAATATAGATTAAAAAACGACAAACAATAATTATTTTTATTACGCGGCGTACGTTTGACAAAGGGAAGGATTTCTTTTTTTTCTTTTGGGGACAATCGCTAATATAAAACCACCCAAATTGTATGTGGTTTTTATTTTTTTTAGAATAATTGTTTATATTTGCACCGTGGGCCAACTTTCGATAACCATAAATTATCGTTAATTAAACCCTATCGGTCACATATGACCAGCAACAGACAACGACCATAGCTTTTTTTGTATATACAATTTTATTATTTCGATAATATATGTAAATATATTTTTTATAATCATTAAGTCCTTGAAGACCATCTTGCCAATCATATCCTTCATTTTTCTCGATCTTCAGTTTCCTCCTGATAACACGAATGTTCCAATTGTGTGCAATCTCCCAAACGAATAGTCATGGCCTTCCAAACGGTCTTGTGCCTCTTGATTTTTTTTATTTTATGACAATTTTGACCATTTATTCTTTCTTCCTTCATGTGTATTCTGATAATATTAATATTTCGAAGATATTTCTGATACCTCTAAAATAGTGGATGGTTTTTTTGTTTTTTATTTTTTTTTTTTTTTTTTTTTTGAAGAGGATAAATAAAAGATAAATTAATTGGCCGAGATTACAAACTGAACTCCCTCGTCCAATAATAACGGGCAACATTTCGGTAACGCCCGACAGTGTCCGTTTTATCTGAGGTTTTATTTAATATTCACAATGGGTAAGATAATAAAATCGTCTAAATATTTGATTTTTTCCAGGTCCGAACCACACGTATCAGAACTATTCAAAGCCATTAACAATGAGAGCCCCGAAGACTTGTATAAGTCGTCAGACTCGGAGTTGGACGAGCCGCTGGACTACAGAGTCAACACGTATTTTCCGGTTCGCGTAGGAAGCGTGATCCAATCGGGTTACTTCATAATCAAAAAACTCGGCTGGGGCCATTTCTCTACTGTATGGCTCTCTTGGGACGATCCGTGAGCATAAAAAAAATTATATAATAATATTTATATCTATATTCTTTTGAACCAGTATAATTTTTTGAATTATTTCTCGTACCTACCTTAACGCGTATAAAAAGTATAGTATATTTTATAACCGTCTCTTCGTTTTTAGGGGGAAAAGATTTGTGGCACTCAAAGTCATAAAATCCGAACCTGACTACACAGAAAGCGCGATGGACGAAATACGAATGCTAAAAAGTAGAAAAACAAGTGTAAGTTTTAAAGAAAAATCACTTCTCGATATAAATAATAAAGGGCGATATTTTACCGACAATTTTCAACACTCAAAATGTCTTTGATAATATAGAATATTAGGCATTGTAATAACATTCAGATTTGTTGGCAGGAAACGCATCTTTATTCGGGTCGCAGGAGGATTGTCGAGCTCTTCGATGATTTCCATATAGACGGATTGCTGGGGTCGCACGTGGTAATGGTATTCGAGGTGTTAGGACCGAATTTACTCAAGCTTATCAAGAAAACAAACTATCAGGGGTTACCGTTGTATTTGGTCAAGCACATCATGAAACAAGTGTGTAACAAAATAGTATAATTTCTATAATTGTTCACCGTAGTAAAATTAATAGGAGGTGAACACCGCCAGTGACAAAATGTGTACAAAAAATCAATTATTATTATTATTATTATATATTATATATGTGCGCTGTATTCTGTACCCTCACTCACTTACTCTTCACACCAAACGAAAAAGATGAAAATGACTTCCCTGTCCCGATAACATATCCATGTTCTTTCGTAGGTGCTGGAGGGGCTGCAATTCCTCCACGAGGCCTGTCACATCATCCACACGGACATCAAGCCCGAGAATATTCTGATTTGCGCGACGCCACAGTATATCAACAAGATGGCCGAAAAATGTTTCAAACAAATGGCCATGCTGAAATTTTGTAAGGGTTTTTTCTTAGTTATTATGCACTAACATACCACGATTACATTATGGTTTTGGTTTATGTTATTATTAGTTTTGGTCTTTTAAAATATCGCGTTTTGTATAGAGTAAAACACCGAAACCGAGAAATTTAACATAATAATGTTCCCAGGATTGTTATAATTTATAAAAAATAATCACCATAGCACACGGCATACTAACACTCGATTGCTCATTTTGTAACATTGTAATTACTAATTTGTATTTCGAGATGGGTGGACCGTTTAATAACAAATTCTGTACAGTGGAAATCGAATACTATTTTATAAGTGGAAAAAATAATAGTAATTTTATCCGAAAAAATGTCACGCGCTTTTCACCGCGTCTAGGAAAGTCGAATTTTTAGTACTCTGTGAAAACTGCGGGGTTTCACAAACAGTTTTAACACAAAAAAAACAACGAAAAACCGATAAATAATGAAAATAATGAAACCGTTATTTCCGTAAACTTTCTCCGCTTTTTTTGTTCGGTTAAGTTATCTTCAATGCATATCGACTAAATTCAAAACGCAACAAAAAAGGTCAATTTTTCATTTTTCGATTGGAGCAAAATTTCCGTGGTATAGAAAATTCGCTTGTAGGTACAAAAAAAAAAATAAAAAATTCCAATAACAAAGCACACATCATAGGAAAACCAATACATTTCTCGTAACACTCTGCAAAATCCGAAAACGATTATATTGACGGGACCAAACGATGTTTTCCGGACGTAATAATAATATTTTTGTACTCTCGACGTGGATTTTTTTTTCCGCAGCCGACAAGAAAGGCATTCAGACAAGTGCCGAAGAGATAATGCAACGCAGTCGCCAGCATAACAAATCACGTCTGGAACACATCGATGATTGGAATATGACCGGTCTGTATAACGATAATTGTGTTATAATTTATACAGAGTTGAATACAGTTATTATTGTTGAAATAATCTCTAGACAGTTTGTCAATAATTTCAGTTAAACTTTAGTTAAAACTTAAAATATTATGTTTAGGAAAATTCAAAAATATAACACGTAGCGTATTACTCCCACCTCTTAATTAGTGATGATAATTTCATTGTCTCTATTTTATCACATTACTACAATTTCAAATTTTGATTTTATTTTAAGTGCACGTGCTGTAACTCGACAAATCTATCACGCGCAAGGACTTTTTTATCTGTTCAATTTTTTTCAGGTTTTTTTCTTGTAATAATATTACTAGAACTTCTGATTCCTTTATTTTATATTTTTTCATTTTTTTTTTTTTTTTTTTTTTTTTTTTTTTTTTTTTTAAGTAACAATAAAAAGTTCACGTTTTTTCAAAATTGTTTTTTTAGAAAAATATAAAATGTTAGCATTAAAATGCAAGGCTTTAAAAATAATTGTTATAAGAAAAAAAACTTAAAACTATTAAGCAGAACAAAAGGAATACATTTTATCAGGGCGTCAGGTTTTTGTGTTTCGACCTGTATTATACTATACAGAAACAAAAGAAAACAGATTAAATGAAAAATTATATTTTATTTATACCTATAGGTACTGCTGCTACTACTGTTTTGTACTTATTTTATTGTGCAGCACATACAGGTATTGTGACATTTACGCTATTACACAATACTTTTTTCTACAGATATAGAGTTTTGTTGACATTGTAATATTTATTATGTGCTATTAAAAAAACACGCACACCGCAATTTATTCGATAATATATGTATATGCGCATCATCGCAAATTGTACGGACAAATCAACTGCCTGAAGGACTAGCAGGGGGAACATATTGTGTTTTGTACGTTAACTTCGGAATCTCCTGAATACAACCATATACGATTTTTTAAATCCTGATCAAAAATAAAAAAAATTATTGCATTTTAAAAATAATTATTCTTTCGTGGACACCCTTTAATACAATGCGTTCCACCGTGTTCGACGGGTTTTTCTAGCGCTGTCAATATTAAATTTGTTTCGATTTTTTTTTTTTTTTTCTAATAGGCTTGTCTTCGAGGGGAACATCGATTTGGAGAAAAATTTATTTTCATCCTCTAAACACACAAAAAAAACGATTTATTCACTTAAAAAAATGTTCAAAAAAGTCATTTTGTAAAAAATTTTATTCAAATGTTTTAATTTATGACAAATTCATATCCGATGTGTAATGTCTAAGTTTTAATTTCATAGAAAATAGGCGATTATTGTGTTTAAAAGATAAATAAGAAAATTTAATTTTTCCCCAAATCGATGGCCCCCTCGAAGACAAACCGATTGAAAAAATCAAATAGAATAAACTTTAATATTAACAGCGCTAGAAAAATCCGTCCAACAAGGTGGGACACACTGTATATTGGTCGTGTACCGTACATAGCGTCATAATTAACGTTAATCTGGGTCTCGTCCGTTATAATTGTGATTATTGAGCGGGAAAATGACAATATTGTACGATTTAACACGCGGGGTGACCAATAATGGAAACGTGCATGAAATATAAATGTCAATTGTATACAATGTTGTAGGTACTTATAAGTACTTTAGTTATTTGACAAATTAGAAGATACGTAATTTATAAACTGTAATTTATTCAACACTAACCTTATAATTTATATTATAATCGTCATTTTTCGCTTGCGAAAAAATTATACATATTTTTTATAGCGTATAGTAGGTATATTCAATCGAATTTATCCGCGGCGAAGCCGATAAAAATGGCCGCAGTATTTACGTTTGTTTTTTGTACATTATTTCAGCGTCCTATATCGAATCGAGTAATTATTTTAGAAAATTATCTAAATACAAAAAGCTGTACGAACTGTTGGACGATCTGGGAGGCATCAGCGTGAAAATTGCTGATCTTGGAAACTCGTGTTGGGAGGTAACTCGTCAGTTTCGATTATTAAATACTTAAAACAATAATATAATATAATTGCATCATATAGTATGTCTACAAAAAGTAGTGATCATTCGATCAACGATAAAAATCAACGCATAAAATATCAATGTTCTCGCCTCTTTTGGGGAATGAATAATTTAAATATTTTTCCGTTAAAATTGCCTTTCCGAAACCTTTTAAAGTTTGAATCGCTTAAATACTGGGATTGCGATAATAATAGTTTGTGTTTCACGCGGTCAACACCGTGATAAAATAGAGAGATGATTCCGTTTTTACTGATAGCATTACCAGACCCCCCCCCCGTCAAGATAATTTTTATGCTCGACATCTCATCGGTCGTTCATACTACGTTCGGTGTAATCAGCTTACAAACACAAATATAATGTTCTTAAGTTTGATAATATAATGTTTCTTAAGTTTGATAATAAGTCCACTCTTATATCAAAACTAAAATCACAAAATTGATTCTGCTGTATGCAATTTGGCTATAATGTCGTGCATTTATAAGACTGGTTTTCCGTTCGCGCATCCAGCAGCGTTTTTTTTTTTTTTTTTTTTACAATATTTCAAGTATTTTGTATATTCCATAATTATGTGATATTATCATGTGTGTTAACAACTAACCGCATATTTTACTAATTATTATTTTACACTTGACGAATTATTTAGCGGACGTTGCTCATTGATAAACAACAATAGATCAGTAATGTTAAAGTTTGTAATAGTTTGTATAATTTATTGAATATTACTGTGCAAATAGATTTATCAGTGGATTTAGATTTAATCGAGATTTCGGACTTATCGACATTTTGATTTCTTTTGGGATTTTAACTGTCGGCGTTTTGCCCTTGTAGCCTACAAGCTAAAAATCCCTACGAGTTCGGGGATTATTGGCTACGCACGGTCTTATATTATAAACCCGGTGCGACGGCATCATAAAACCCGACGAAAATATGTGGGCTTATATTCTTTTCGTTTTACGCACAGTCAACACCAAAATTCCATTTAACTGCAACACGTCGTGCCCGAATTCAATTTGCTCCCGCGCGGTTCCGAAACCGTATAGGTATAGTCGATTCGCGACTTTACATGGGTACCCTTATAAAATGTAAAAACATTATTATACCGAAAACACGGCGGCGCCCTCAAACGGGTATTATACACAAACACTTCACAATTTCTACGTGTATTTTCAACACTTCCGAACCCGCATTACGTGATACGCAACCGTGACATATTGTTTGTACTCGCCGGGGGGAAGGAGGAGAAAAAACATCGTGAAAAGAAACACTGGTATTCTAGCTGAAGGTCGGATATTTTTCGCCAAATTAAAATGTGTTTGTAATAATATTATTAAAAAATTCCTAAACATTATTGCAGTCGCATTTTCGGATTCACCCCAAGAAGTACGAGAAGTTTCCAAAAATTAAGAAATGACCTATCAGAAGAATATTTTGGTCCGAACATGGAAATTTAAAAAAAAAAAAAAACGCTCCTTTTGATTATTTCCCCGACAGACCCATTTCAGTGCATGTCATTAGATATTTAAATTTTATGTTCTTCTATGGTTATGATAAATAATATTTAAGACAAAACATACTTAATTATATAATAATATATTGTATAATAAACAGAATAAATACTACTTGGAGACCATACAGCCATTACAGGCATTACAGGCATTACAGAAACTTCAGCACCAGAATTCGGAAGCTAAGCTGGACTTACCGGCAGAAAGCTCCGCAACATCGGTGCCCGAATTGGGGTGGGATCTTGGGAAGGTAGGATATTTAGGGTAATTTATTTATATCTGTAATTCTGCACAAGTTTGACTGAATTACAACAACAAAAAAAAAAAAAAAAACACACACACACTTTAAAATAATGTAATCATTAGTTCTGTAAACTTTCACGTTCAATCTACGTTTTTTTCCCGGTTTTGCTCAATTATAAGCAATAAAAAACTAACGAAAAATGAAAAAACGACTTTCAAATTCAGGAACTAGATTCAAAATTCAAAAAAAATATCTGGTGTCATTTTTCGATTAAAGCAATATTTGTGGTAAACAAGTTCCTCATAGAAACAAAAAAAATAAACAACACATATTAATATCTATAGACACTTTGCTCCTCTCCGAATCTAAAATCGAGACTTTGGTTTTCGATATTTTTTATAGTGCCATAAAAACTTATGATAAACTTTGTATCGAATTTTCAAGCATTTTTAGGTAATTTAAATAATTTTATAACCAAAAACCAATTCAAATTGTAAAGGCAGTATTTTTCATTCGTTATTTTACTTACGCACTAATATCCTCATCGCTGTTATACATTTTCAATATTTTAAAACTTTGAACTATCATACAGTTGCATACTACCTATGTATTAATAATAGAAAATACAAGACACCGTTACTGTATACATTTTCCAGTTTTTCTGATTTTTCTTAATTATTGAAAATTTCAAGAAAAATCAAAAAATGTTCTACCTGTTGTGACATCTAGACATAATTTGCTACCCTCCCATCCCTGAAAGCTGAAATAAATAATCGGAGCAAGATTTTATAAAGTAGGAAAGTTATTAAAATTCAGTGGCGTGTAGAGTTAGGAGTTATATTCCTACATTGGCTTAAAAAGACAACAAAAATTAGTATTTATTTAGTAATTTTATCTTGAAATTAAGTAGATATATATTTCAACCAAGTTATAAGACATAAGCTTGATTTATCGAATAAATTATTAATTAAATAAATAAAGCTTGATTATTTATGAATCATGATTATTATTTAACACATCCCCTTCATATTGAAAATTCTTTGACACGCCACTGTTAATACAAACGGACAAAATACACTCAGAATAATAAACAAATAAATATCACACATCTTAATGAACCCAATACATTAATCACCACGCTCAGAATTTAAAAATTAATAAACATCAAACATAGCTCAAAAAATATCTGAAAAAGTGCCAACGTAATTTGGCACTTAAATAACTATTCCACTCACTTTTTCATGTTTCTCTCTGAAAAGTACGAGAAATTTCAAAACAAATAATTACCTCCCTGATACTGAGGCTTTTCTAGTCGAAGTTGTCCACACATCATCATAGTAAATCCGATAAAAACAGTAAAGTTAATATTATTTAATTTTTTTCTCCCCCTGTGACAAATGTGTTTCAGTGCATGACATTAGATATTTAAAACTTCTATTCTTCTGTGGTTATAATAAATTATACTTAAAACAAAAAATGCTTATATTTTTATTGTATTTTTGCTTAAATAGCAGAATAGCCACTACACGGAAAATATACAGACTCGTCAGTACCGGTGCCTGGAAGTCTTGCTAGGCTCTGGGTACACTACAACTGCAGATATCTGGAGCGCTGCCTGCCTGGTTAGTATTCAATGTAAAATACTGTACCTAAGCTAATCATAAGAATAACTAAATTTTAAAATCTCATAAATAATCTTTTTATTCGAGTTTCCTCCCACCCACCCTTCTCCCTCCCTTATCCTTCCTCGCCTTCCCCTTTTCCTGGATAACCCTTTTAAAAATTAGAATAATGGAAACATACCATGAGTTATATATCAACTCTGTAAAGATTTGGTACCTATATCTATAAGTCAATATGCAAACGTATGTTTCCGAATATTTCCTGGTACGCATGCCAAACCGAGCAAGCGTTTAACTACGTAGGTAACTTAATTGAACAAGACGTACTCGTTGAAATCAGTTGTAATGGTTGAACAAAGTTCGTTGAAAATAACAAAATATTTATGACAATTTGTCATTAAGTAATCGAGGTAATTCAGTAAGGTAAACTGAAATGTAATACGCGTTGGAATTTTGAATTTCTATTATTTCTCAAACATTTTCGTATTTTTTGCTGAAATCCAAAAAAAAAAAATCAAAACGACTATGGTATAATGTTGTGTACAATTTCTAAAGCTATTCGGAATCGTTTTTATTTGTTTACTGCTCTCTTTGTATGAAATTTATTTTCTACTCGTATATTGGCTTACTTATATTAGTTTCTATTTCCTATGTATAGATTTAGTATTTTTATTGGATTATGATGACAAATATTACTATTAGTATTTTTAAAAGTAATAAAACTATGGCCGTAATATTGGCGTGCTCCCTAAAATAATGGAAATATTATTATTTGTTTTTTTTTTACAGACTTTTGAACTGGTTACCGGCGACTTTTTGTTCGACCCGCATTCCGGGCCAAGCTACAGCAAAGATGAAGACCACATTGCACATATAATTGAGCTTTTGGGCCCTATACCGTTGCACGTGATTCATAACGGCCGGAACGCCAATACTTTTTTTAGAGAAAACGGTATACACACTCGTGCAGTGATTTGTAAAATATTATTATAATTTAAAATATATTTTTGTCGTTTTTTTTTTTTTTTTGTAAATTTCGCAAACTCGTTATATACATAGTATGCGATGCCCACGATTCATAACGGCTTAATTAGGAGATCGAATGCCGATATTTTCTTTTTTTGTTCAAAATAGATACGCGGTATACCAATTTAAACCAATTTTCCAATAATTGGTCCAATCAGTTACAAACCAGTGGGGTGGAATCATCCACTTATCCCTTCTCCAATATACACTTAAGCTCTAATATACTCTTGCTTGGTCCATCATTGAGCTCATCATATGAATGTATGGCTTCTATGCCAAAATCACTTCTTCTAGCCCTCCATTATCTTACTATTCCTTGTCCGCCAAATATAAATGGAGTTATGATACCGTTTGACGCAGGTGTTCTAATTTCGTTTTCTGGTATTATAGTAAATTCTAAAAAACTTCATTAAAAACTCATACATTCAATTTTCATAATCATATATTTAATAATAACAAAAATTTTAATTTAACGTATAATATTATAATAATATCCAAGTATAAAAGAAGAAGAAAAAAAACTACAAGATTAGTAGAAAATCAAAAATGATATTTCGGATTTTAATTAACACTAGTTGTTTATCCTAACCTAAGGTTTACCAAATCTCGTTTTTACAATTTTGAACTACAAACATTTTTCAAAATTTGACTAAACTATCTTGTATATAATAAGTTTGTACAGAGTGTAGTCGGTAAAACCTAATATTTCACCGGTGTCCTTACTTTTATCTAACATAATTTCGACGCGATTTTTTGCGTTCTCTCGAAGAATTTCTTTATTTTTTACTAATTTATAATCTACAACTAGCTTTTATTATTTGTCATTTCGAGTATATTTCCAAAAAAGTATCTATGTAAATACAATAATTATCGTCGTAATAAGACATCGACACAGTGTTCTGATAAAACACTGCGGATAATTTTGTCCTGTATAAAAATCCATTGTTTCTGTTGCAGCTTACTTTTAAAAAAATGTATTCAAGCCTTTGGACTATATTTTGGTTTTTTTTTTCAACCCGATTTTTGACAAATTGCAATCTTTTATAAATTACAATCGCATACTTAATTTTATTCAATTAGAATTTTTTTTTTTTTTTAACCGTTGCCGTTGTTAACGATAATGCATATGAATACATTTTATTCGTGTAACGTTGCAGGCAATCTAAAGCATATCTCCAACTTGAAACCGTGGTATCTGTACGAAGTGTTGGCGGAGAAATACGAATGGGACTCGGAAGTGGTCACAGGTTTCACGACGTTCCTGTTGCCAATGTTGGACTTGGACCAGGACACCCGCGCAACAGCAGCCGTGTGTTTGGAACACCCTTGGTTGGCGTCATAGAGTGTTACGATGCTACTAGATTCGGCCAAAACTGATTTTAAATTATTAATATTATTGTTTTACTGTAGTTACACACACACACACACACACACACATAAACACAAAACACACACACTGGATCTATGTGTTGTTTCACCACAATTTGCACCGTAAAGTTTATCAAAAAAAAAAAAAACAAAAAACTTACATTATAATAAAAAATATAAGTATTTAAACGCTATTCAGTTGTCAACATTATAGAATGTTAATAATTGCAAAAAATTATCGGACGATTTCGTATGCCTAAAACTATATTATATGTCGTATAGGTAACGCTCGTATAATATTACTTTTAATTTAAAATATTATCCGTAATGTCGGCGGAACTCCCGAAATCAACACAAACAATAATACATTAAACACTATTAACCGCGTGACGTAGGTGTTATAAAAATAAAAAATAAAATAGGTGTATATCACAAGGGCCTATAGAACTCCTAATAACTTTATAATTATTCAAATATTTACATAAAATATACCTATAAGATTTAAGCACTAAAAATAATCTGAAATTATCTATGTTTAATGTGCATATACGTATTATCACGAAAAGTAGCGTGCGCAGTGGATAGTATTTGGAGGGTTATAATATCACCCCGTATCGATTTGGAGTACTATGAATATTTCATTAGTAATTTAATCTCGATTATACTGAACAGTGGCGAAATATATAGTGCCCATATTTCAGTCAATAAGATCCTAAGAACAAATCGATTCATTGAATAAAAATTTACTTTTTTGTATCCGAAGGGTTAACCCTTTCAATTCCGTCTTACTTTATTATTGTTTTTTTTTTTTTTTTTTTTTTTTTTTTTCGTAAAACCGCTAAATAAAACAAAATGCATTATGCATATTATGAGTTTTTTTTACAACAAGCACTTACATTTATTGATGTAATTGAAGTTTCAACAACGATTTCATCACATTTTAATATAGGGGTTACCAAAATATATTTATTATAATTTATTCATTTATTCTATACTATCAGAATCGTAGCACAGCACTCATTTTTGTCTCTAACACGTAAATTGTCATTGTCGAACTTGATACACAGAAATACAGAAGATGATTCTACACTATAATTTTTGGTTATTATATTTACTATTACAACCCCCCCTCCCATTGAAATTCCTTGGCACGCTACTGATCGTGAATAGTTTTTAGTTTATCGTTTTATTCGTGTACTACAAAATTCGTAACATTTATTTGTGTGTGAAACTTTTAATAATTATTACATAGTATGGTATTAACTGTTTAGTATATAAGTCAAGTACATTCAGGGTGGAGTAAGATACTAAATAAAAAAAAAAAACATCTTGATATAGAATACATAAAAAAACTTCAAAAGATACAAGCTACATAATACAAATATCAAATATACAAAAAAAAATACAAGATACTTTCAATTTATTTAAATTTCATTCGGAGAATATTATTTTATGGTTTACATTAAATAAAATAATTATAATTATAGCAGTCTAAGATTTTTTTTTTTTTATAGTTAAAAGTACATCGTATAGTATAATAATAATTAGTGTGCAAAATAAAGATAAACGCTTTGTATTAAATATGATAATTATAAATAACGTCTATTTAGAATTAAAATCTATTTATGTGTGTTCAAATGTGATTTTCATAAAGCAGTTAATACGACCCTTTTTCAAGATTCTCAATATTTGAATTGTATCAAAAAATGATGACCCAAGTATCTTGTATCTTTTAGTATAAAATGATATTTGATACCGTAAAAAAAAAGTATCTCTATACAAGGCATATCACATTAACTAAAAATGATACAAAATACAATTGTATCTTTGATACATATTGTATCTGAGACAACGACCAACCCTGAATGTATACTTTATGTGCATTATACGTTTAACGGAGATTTATTATCGATATTTTTTTTCCAAATGGACCGGCAAATTGGATAATGTCAAGCAGTGCGTTATGTACACGTTACTATTTTACTAGCAACTAGTAGGCTATTTGCTTATCTGTTTGCGAAGAAACGTCTTGTAATCGAATGCGCTATTAAATTAGCATAGATTCCGTCTTATTTTGTTGCAGAGATGAGATTATTAGGTTAAAATTTTTTAATTTTTTTTCTTTTTTGATGACTATAATTTGTTGGTTTCCTATTTCATGCCCGGATTAATAACGCATTTAAGGAGGAAGAATATGGAGATATTATCGTTTCTTTAATGTAGTTTATTTCTTTGGTATCAATACAAAATTTTTTAAATTGAAATTAGGAGCTAGACTGTGATTTTTCAATTTTTTTTTTTTTTTTTGAATGTGTGTTTTTTACTTGAAAACTAAGTTTTTGATTTTGATTCTGGTTACACTATTGGAATTTTTCATTTTTTTTTTTTTTTTTTTTTTTTGTGACGGGGGTACCACACGTCTTCAGTGCCTCCCTCACTGATCCACCCTTGAAACTGAATGTATTTCATTTTATTATTTAAAGAAAAACTTAACCAAACCGTTATAATATGAATGCTAGATAAGTACCTATACATAGTAAATTAATTAATAATAATTATTATTTATAAATACATTTAGTTATTTGATTTCAATAATAATTCAATAAGACTAAATTGTAAAATATATAATCGATTAGCCTCGGTATACATCATAGTATTACAATATTACAAAGTATCCAAATTTAATATTTCTCCATTTTTTGCAAAATTTTCTTTTATTAATATTAAGTATTCTGTTCACTATCAGGTCAGCTATACTGCAAGCCTAGCTACTAGTTGTTGGTGAAAAAGCATCGTATAAACGGCTTAACCCTTAAAAGTATCTATAGAAAAGTAATTTCAAAAGGGGTCCGTGCAAAAACAAGACACTTATTGTTTCGAAACAATTCGGGAAACTTTTTAAAAATACCGTGTTCATAAAATAAGATTTAGTTAAAACAATTTGAATCCAACCCACAAGTTAAGATTTATTTTGCATAATTCTATTTCGTGATTTAACCACATCAAACTGCACGTGATACAAAATAATCAGTTTTACTCGTTTTGATTTTAACACCGGTTTTCAAAATGAAAACTGAATAATTGTTATCTGATTAAAATTTCGTCTCGATAAAGTTGACATGTTATCTGTTGACCAGAATTTTCTAGAATTCTGTTTCTAATCACATTATGCCAACATCGCATAATCGGATTTATCCCGTCGCGCGACGTATAAAAAATAATTATTTCTCTGGCAAAGATCATTATCGGAATACGAATTTCGCCTCCAAAGAGCGGAGCTGTCTTGATTTTTGCATGGGTCTCTTCAATTTCAAAATAATATACTATTTTACTATTTATCGTGTAGATATAGGTACAATTCGCGCGTGTTATACGTTTATGAAAAAATATTAATAGTGGTCGGGACGCTACAGTTATTTTGTAATGCGCTAACGCTACAGCTAATTCCGAAATAGTAGCTCGCTATCGGTACCGCTACTTTTTCTCTAGATACATTTTTTTTTTTTTTTGACCCTAAACTCGTTTCAATATTCAGGTTTTTATTTGTTTACAATAAGTTATAAGTATAAATTATTCGATAAACATAGAACAGTATACTAACCAAAACAAAATTATGTGTCACATTTTATTGTGTTCTCGTGCTCTCAAAGTAGTTTTCAAAAATCTAAAAATTGTCTTACTAAAAGTAATGAATTCGGACTGGTACAACTGGTCGTAGGCTTGAAGTTGCTGGATTTTCGGAATTCGGAAGTTTATCACGGAACATTCCGATTATTATCGACTATAGTGACAATTTCCGCTACGTTACTTGTGAAATTTTTAGTGTGCTATAGTATTTCGCCACATTGTGAGTACTGTAGTGACACTACTTTAATAGCTATAAATAAAATAGCGTGCTACTGTGTATCGACGCTAAAATTAACGCGCTACTCCCGGCCACTGAATATTAACAATAATATACAACATGTGTGTTTTTGAAAATTAGTATTACAATAGTCGCAACGTCAAATTCACTATTACTATAACAGTTAGCCAACAGTTACGTGGCCCGTGAAAGTATCTATAACGTTCTGAAAACAATAAGTTAGCCCTTCTATATGCATTTCTTAATGTTTTACAATATAATTATTATGCTCTATGGTTTTACGTTCGAAAAGTATATAATGTCTTAATGGCCGCTGATTCGGAAAATTCTTGAAGAAAAAAAAAATCTGTATTGACCACCGATTTTTTTGTAATAGCATAATTATTGTATTGCGCGCATATTATTATTGTATAAGACTATCGGATTCTCTTTTTGTTTTTATCGCACGCATATTTATCGTATATTTAATTGAGTGTGCATATTATATTATATCGTCTTTATATTACATACTCATCTATTTAAAATATTTATCTAAGTGTGTCTATTTACCTACATTAATAATAATATATATTATATATCTCGCCTTTACTGTGTATCGTATACGTGTATTATAATACAATATATAGACGTAAATGGGTCGTGACGAGTGGGCTATAAGTTGAAAAGTAGAATGGTCGACGTCAAAATGAATTTCAACTAAATTTCATTAGTTTACGATATTTTTTTAATATAGGTGGCAAATAAAATATGGCTCATAAAATAAAGTCAACAAAAAATATTCAATATAACTGATCCGGAAAACAAATTTCTGAAAATTTAATACTATCCGAGATAATAAATGTTTTATACAAGGATGGCCAACCTGTATTGTATTTTATAAAACCAATTTTCTTCATTCGTTACAAAACCGTTTTGAAACGCAGTCATTATTGCCAAACGTTATATACGCGGGGACGAAACGTGTAAAGTTATTCTATGCCGTTTGATAGTTTGCCGGAAACAAAAACATAACGCGATTTTATGTACAATTATTCCGACCTTTGTTTATAGTAACATCGATTCGTAAAAATTATTTTTACTGGACTCGATTGATTTGTACGGGGTGGAAG